ATGAGAATATAACTATTATTTTTTTTTAATAAGACTTGCTGTTGGTCCTTGTTCATGATAAATTTTTTTTGGAAAGCTGAATGTAATTCTCCCTGTTTGTTTGCTTGTGACTGTGTATATAAATATATATATAATTTTATATTGTAACATCTCTCTTTAAGTTTATAAAATTTTAAGAAAACTGTATCTAGAAGATTGTGCAAAGGAAAGAGAAGAACGTGATTAAAAGATGAAGTGCTTTATACTAATAATATTGTCACCAAGATGGAACCAAAATGCGTTAGATCTTAGTAAAAGAGGTTATGATCATTTAAATATGAGGTATTGGATTTGAGTTTGTGTATAGAAAATGTTTTTGAAAATATGACCAAAGATAATCATATAAAAAAATTAGATCAATGATTAAATCAATTGAGGTATTAACTCACACAGGTGGGACGTTATCAAGTAACATCAACATATATACTCTTTCTATTAAAAATGTTTTCACATTTTTTGAGGAGTTAAATGTTCAAAGATATAAGGTATTTTTAGCCTTTTGAAGTGTAATTATTATATTTTTTTCAAAAATATCTATATTAATAAATGACTTTATATTTATTGTAAGGTATTTAATAAGGATACATATAAAAAAATAGGATTAGTTTGAAAGTAAGTAACTATTTTATTAAGGGTGAGATTCGATTAAAAATGTCTTACAATTTTTAACAGAGAAAATATGTAATTAAGTTAACATATCTTTAAGAGCATGTAACAAGATATTATACAAATTAAAGAAATATATAAACTTCAACAATAACAAATTATATATTATTTATAATTCAAATCCAAATAAAAGCATTTTTAATAAATTTACGTTAGAAATTATCAAAATCATTTCGATAGCTACTCACTATATATGTGCGCGCGCGAATCAATATGACATATCCCTCATAAATATATTCTTTAATTTTAGTCCTTCATAGAATTATCTTCTCAACCTTATTTATTTAAAATTTTTGGAAAAAACTTTATTTATTTTGAATTAAATATTCTCAATATAATCCCTTGTAAAATTGCCTTTTCATCCTTATCCTTCGCATGTAAAGCCATTATAGTTTAGGTTTAAAGCGAAAAAATGTCTTGAAATTTTTTTTCTAAGAGCACCTGATATCCTAAAGTTTTTTTAAGTATTTTTGCCTTGAAATTTTCAAAAAAAGAGCATTTCAATAAAATAATATTAGAAGCATTGACTATTAAATTAAAGTTTGACCAATAATATTTTTGTATTTTGCCCTCCTTTTTTCCATGTTCAGTCTCCGATTTTGTTTTTCAGTAAAGTTTTTAACCTTGCTTTCTCCAACAAAAAGAAAAATTGAAGACTCAAAAATGCAAAATGAAGGAGAGCAAAATAGTAAAATGCTTTGGTCAATCTTTACTTTAATATTCAATGTTCCCAATATTTAACGGTTGGCGAAAATGCTCTCTTTTTAAAAATTTTGAGAAAAAAATATTCAAAAAAAAGTTTAGGATTTTAAGCATTATAGATAGAGTTGGGAAACGGCCTGGCTCGGCCCATCCTTAAGGGCTCAAGTCCTTAAGTCTAATTTTCTCAAAATGCTTTATTTTTTAAAGCTCGGCTTTTATATAAAGGGTTCAGGGTCATACCCGTAAGCCCTTCTTATTATTATTTTATTTTTTGAAAGTTTTAAAAATTAAAATTTTTAATTATAATATTTCATATATTTTTAAAAACGTAAATTATAATATTTAAAAATTAAAAATAAATAATAGAAATTTTAATTTTAAAGTATAAATATTTATTCTAAAGTTCAATTTCAATTTAAAAATTGAAAATATTTTATTTTTTAAGAAAAAAATAAAAACGGGCCTAAAAAGGCCGTCCAAACCTAAGCTCTTTTTTCAAGGCCTCTCAGGACCAGGCTTGAAAGCCTAATTTTTTTAAAAAATATCATTTTTTTAATCCTGAACCCTTATAAAGATGAGCGTAAATGGGCGGTCCTCTAAGTCCTGCCCTTATTCTTGATTCTAATCATAAGAGAAAAAAATTCAGGATACTTTTTTCCTTTAACCCTATATTTTACGTTATTGCATTTTAATTATTTAAAATTAACAGACATAATTAAATAATTAAAGATATGATCGTTTATATTGCTTAATAACTTTATAATATAAAATATGTAAAATAATTGTTTGAAAATTGAAGCTTTGCAGATTTTTTCTGGCCTCAATCTATGCGGGCCAGAAAATCCTTTTTTCAAAAAAAAAAAAGTAAAATACTCTAATCTACCTTTATTTTGCCTTAATTATATATATCTTCCTTCTATTTTTAAAATCTATACGAACTTCTCCTAATATAAATAATTACAAAATACAAACATCTTCTCTATTTTTAAGATTTTATTTCCATCTGCTTAATCATTAATTGACCATTAAGTTACATATGTTAAACTAAAATATCCCTTTTTAAATATAAATATGGTTTACAAAACATTCAAATTACATTACACAACAAAAATTAATGCACATATTTTTTTACTTTTTTATTATTTAAATGTATTTATTTAATATTTTTTAAAAAAATTAAGTATATAAATTGGCTAAAATAATATTTGAACACACAACTAAAAAATTATGAAAATCTAACCAAGGTTTGAATTCTTGCTAAGAAAGTTGTATATATTTAATACCAAATCATGCCTTATATAAGATTACTTTCAATAAGAAGATATCTGTAATTACCAAAAAAATACTCAATATAATTTATTTTATTTTTATTTAAATTTCATTAATTTTAAAACAAAAATTTTAATTAATTTATTTAAATATGGACACACTTAATTGTTTAAAAATTTTTTGAATTGGGGGAGAGAGTAGACAATTAGATCATAAAAAGGAAAATTAATAATTTTAAATTTTTTAACATAATTACAAATTAATAAAAAATAAAATTATATTAAAATATTCAACGGAATATTCCTAATGATATTAAGGATTATACTAAAGAATAGGTTTTGAAAATAGAGAAAAGATCTCTATAATTTTAGCAAAATAAAAGGATAGTTATTGTATTTTACTGAAAAGAAAAATCTATAAATGACAAATGATAAAGCAGAATTCATGCCATATATCTTTTAAAAAAACCTATAGGCAGGGATCTCATATAAGGGCTAATTCTATTGGCTGTGTGTCCTATAATGTGTGTGCCCACGTAGCTTTGATTAATCCAATTCATAGTCATACAATAAAATTAATAACTTGGATTTGTACTAAAAAAATTCATAATCATATAATAAAATACACTCATCTCTAATATATTTTAACTTAATTACAGACAATTTTATTTTATTATTAAAATCTATACAATTTTTTTATAATCAATAGTTTTAAGTTACAAATCTCTTTTTTATTTTAAAGATTAGATATTTCTATCAATTCAATGGTTAATTGATTGTTGAGTCCTGTATTTTAATTTAAAATACACTTCTTTAACGTATATGGTCGTCTACAAATTATTTAGGTTGAAAAAATTTAATGGATCTATTCTTAACATTTTTAGTCACATTTTAATTTAAAATTATGTAATCTTATTTGTTTAATAATTTTTAAATTTAAGTATATAAGTTGGATAAAATAATATTTGGAACACAAATGTTAAAAAGAACTTAATGAAATAAAAATAAAAATAACATACTTTGTTTTTTCCTTATGTATCAAAAGAAAATAAAAACACTTAATGAAATAGGGATTTAATATAATTAGGAATAAATTATTCAAGAAGAAAAATTTTATATTATCTTTATATATTTAAAGTATTTATTTCTAATTAAATTAAGATATGTAAATATTTGAATAAATTGGTCCACTGATCAAAAATAATCTTATATCCAAAAAATATGGACTAAATTTTTAAAAATTTAGGAGTGTGATTGGTTCATATTGATATACAAGGATTTATTATTGATATACAAAGGTTTTATTATTACAAATTTAAAAATTTATAAGAAGTTTATCATTAGTAAATATGATAAATTGAGCATAATATAAAATGTAATAAATATTGAGCTTTTTACTTAATTTGATCTTATAATGTGGGTCATATTTACAAAAGCTCCAAAATATTTTATGTATGATTTATTTCTTAAAAAGCTCTTATTTTTAACATCATTAACATTTTAAGATTCACTTGTTTTAATTTGATTAGAGAACGCTTTATTAAGTTTAAAATGCTAAGTATCCAGGTCTTTTCCATTATTCAATATCATGTTTTATTTATTTTATAAACACTAATTTTAATATGGTATTTTAAGAAAATTGATGAAATATAATGAATTGATTTTCTGTGGTTCAATATCTATGGTTTTATTTTCTTTATTTTTAATAATTAAAAATTATATTAAATAAAATAAGATATCTATACTAACTAGATTAAGATTTGAAATTTCAATTTAAATTATTATTTATTATTATTTTAATGTTTGTAGGATTCTATAAATAGTTGTTTTCAGATTTGATTATTGAATATAATTGCATTTTCTCTCTCTTTTCTTTTCTCTCTTCCCTGTCCCTCTCTCCCTCCTTGCTTCAATGCTTGTTGCCTTCCTCGCTTCACCTCAATTATATATTTAAATATTTTTATAATTAATTATTTAAAGGTCTTAAAATTGAGAGGAGAGAGTAGAACAAGGGTAAATTAATCTTTTTTTATTTAAAATTTAAAATACATTCTACGGAGAAGAGATGGCGTTAAGAATTTGACTCGTTGAAGGTTGAATATTCAAAAAGCGGGGGTATAGAAATTCTCACCTTTGATTCATTGAACCATATCTTTCCCTTGTGTCTGCTCTTGATGATCAACTCACTCTCTACGACGATGACGACGAGCTTGGAAACTCAATCTCCGCCGCCCATTCCAACGCGCAAGAGCAATCTACGTACGCAAATGCATGAGATATTGACAGACACAGAATGGAAGACTATTCTGATCTGATCTGCGTTTTATTTGTCCATTTTGACAAAGCATTTCCATTCCTTAGCTGCGAAGCATCTCTTTCCTCTCCTGCGTGTTTGTATATATAGCTAACTTCCTCAATCCTCCCACACTTCAAGTTCAAGCAACACTGCTCCACGTCTTTGGATATCCACAATCATATTTGACATTTTGCTCCCACATTTCTTCCTCTTCAGAATGGTGGGTCATCATATTCTACTCTTAATATTGTATTTTCTCATATTTATGTCATGAGTCCCACTTTGGGAATCTTTACAACTGAAATGGGGTTCACAAGCTCAAGAACTTTTCCACCTGGCTATAGTTTTTTATTTTGCCAACATTTATGAGTAACATTAATTTGTGCTCATGATATGATTGGTTGAGCTTTTTGGAATATCTTATTATTATTACAAGTCATCTTTGCTAATAACTTTTTTTGTTTTATCCAATTAAGGATATGCCTCTACCCTCTTGATTCTTGAAAACATCTACCCAAGATATTTCGGTTCCGTTTACAATAAACTTTATTTGCACCCACATAGGCCCAAGAAAAAAAAACAAAGAAAATCATAAAAGGTAAATTATGAACTTGTCAGCTGTGGACTAATTTGTGCTTCTTTTTTCTTTGTATGATTTTGTCCGAGCAGGCTTTCTCGCTTCAGATTGAGGTACTGCTATTTACAAAAACTATATCTACAACTCTACTTATCTGTTGTGTTGATCAAATTTTTCTTCTTGATTTATATTCTTGTTAACATTTTGCTGCTGAACTTTTCTGCATCAGAATGAATTTGTTCAGAACTCAGAAAGAGTGAAGTCTGTTGATCTGCATCCAACTGAACCATGGTAAATAACACATCTAATTCACCTATGTCTTCTTCATATTCTACTCTAATAAGAATTCTAGACCCTGAAGGCAATATTTCTAGACAAATACTCTCTCCGTTTCTATATACAAGAGAAAAGAAAATTGTATCATACAGTTTAAGAAAATTGGTTAACCATAATAATTATATCTGAAAATAAAAAAATTAAACTAAAATACTCTATATTAATCAACATAAGTATGCATTAATTATTTCTCGTTAATGTAAATTATGAAGGATGATTTAGAAAATGTGTAATAAATGCTTATTAAAATATGTGATTTTTTTTATATAAAAAAATTAATAAAAAGTGATAGTTTTTCTTACAAATAAAAACGGAGTTGTACTTATTATAAGTGGTAAATTTTCTCATGCAGGATTCTACTGGGTTTGTATTCAGGAACTATTTCCATTTGGAACTACAATACCAAGGTAAGAATAAGAATTCTAGAAAGGAGAAACATTTGAAATAATATGTGTTCTGTATCTTCCAATATCTGAGTTTCTCAGTAAAACTTTGAAAAAGGCATTCCTTTCTAACTTGGTCTTATTACAGACCGGAGAAAAGTCTTTCAAGGTCAGCGAATCACCAGGTAAAGGTCATAATGCAGCAATACTTGGGTGGTTTTAACACCTGACTTAGTTAACTTTGTTTGTTTTCTTGCCTTTTGAATGCTTCAGTGAGATCAGCTAAGTTCATAGCTCGCAAAAACTGGGTTGTAGCTGCAACAGACGACAAATTGATCCGTGTCTACGATTACAACAACATGGAGAAGGTGACAGAATTTGAGGCTCATAAAGATTTCATAAGGAGTTTGGCTGTACATCCCACCCTGCCATATGTGATATCAGCTTCTGATGATCAAGTTCTGAAGGTTTGGGATTGGACAAAAGGTTGGTCAAGTATTCAGAACTTTGAAGGCCATTCTCATTATGTGATGCAAGTTTCATTAAATCCAAATGATGCATTTTGCTTTGCAAGTGCTTCCCTTGATGGCACTTTGAAGGTAGTGTCTTATTAGTGGCAAATTAATCTCTTAAAATTTGAATTTTCAGTTCATTAATTATCAGTTTGCTTCAATTGTGTCTCTCTTTCTCTCTTCTCTTTTTGTAGATTTTGAATCTAAACTCCTCAACTCCAAACTTTACCTTGGAAGGACACTTGAAAGGGGTGGATTGTGTTGAGTATTTCGCAAGCAATGACAAACAATATTTGTTGAGTGGCTCTGATGATTACACTGCTAAGGTTTGTCAGTGAAATTATTCTTTGATTTCATTGTTTATAAGGATTTGAAAGATTCTTCTTCAACACCTAAATTCACATTTTAACAGGTTTGGGATTATCATACTAAAGACATTGTACAAACATTGGAAGGACATGAAAACAATGTTACGGCAATTTGTGCCCATCCCGAGTTTCCTATTCTTATCACAGCTTCAGAGGATAATATTGTTAAAATATGGGATGCTGTCACTTATAGGTAACTCTCTTGCTCTCTTCTCATTTTAGTTTTATTTTTCATAAGATAAAATTTAGGTGAGTTGGGTTTTAAAATCTCACCAAGACTAGGACATGTCTCGAGGCTTAAAAGAGCATTTAAATATTTACATATTGTCTTTCAAAAAGGTCCTCATATCGGCAATAAGATTTGAACCATGAGCCTTATAGATTATGAGTCAAATTTTTATCAATTGAACTAACTTTTATTGGCTTCTTATTTTACTTTTAGCCCATGGAATGAACATATAATTAATTGTTATCATTGACTTGTAGGCTTCAAACCACGTTGAACTTTGGTCTGGAGAGGGTATGGAGTATTGGATACAAGAAAGGATCACATGAGTAAGTTTTAAGTTCTTTGAACATTTCGTTGACTGAGGCAAACTATATATAGAACTCAAAAACTAATATTGTTACTGATTAAAATCACTACTCATTTTCTGCAGGCTTGCTTTTGGATGTGACAAAGGATTCATCATAGTGAAGTTTGATTGCTCTTCTCAACACCTTGATGCTGGCAAATAAAACTAGCAAGGACAAGGCTGAAATAAAAAGGAGACTTTCAATCAAAGACCACAAGAAAAAAACCAGCTTGAATTTCTTGAAATTCACTTGAAGTATAGATATAAAGATAAACACTTAAAGGTGGGCTTCACTTCTATGAAATCCATATTATTAGAAGTGAGGCCCACTTTTCTGTGTCTATCTCTCTGTTATTTTTAGGTGAAATATATTTCAATGAATTTAATTAAGACTAAAAATAAATAACTTTTAATATTTAAAATGCATGCATAATAAATTAAAACCTATGATATAATATTTTATTACAAAGAAGAAATGCTTTGCTGCCCTTGTCCATGGTTGAAGCAAGTTGTTGGTGCGGGGTTCAACATGAGTTACTTCAATTATTATTTCATATATTCCATCGTACACGTTAAGGCTGCACAAAAGACTAGACGTGACTGAACTTTAGCCTAACCCAGAGTCTGGTCCTTTTCATGAAAAGGATTGGCTTAGGTAACCCGTAGTCCGATCTGGTCCTGTGAAAACCCGAAGATTAACAAGACTGGACTTGGTCCATAGGACTGGGAGATTGATCCTGTTAGTTCAATACTCACTTGGCCTTTTTTTTTCTTTTTTTTCCTCTATGATGACCAATAATCTATTTCAACTTAACAAACTCAATTAAGATAATAAAAATACTTATAATCATAATAAATCCATAATAATTTCTAAAACTAAGAAAATAATATTTTAATTACAGTCCAAACTCCAAATGATTTAAATACATAACTTCAGTAAAAAAATCAAAGGAAAGACCAAAAATAGACCAGAGGAAAAAAAATTAGCAAGAACAGAAGTAATAAAAATCAGCCCACAGACATGTTCCTTCAAAGTTCAAACAGATCAAGATCAGAGTGCAAAGTGCAAGGCAGGGGCTAGGGCTTTGGCGCACTGAAGAAATTGAGAATGAGAGCAAAGTTGAGTGAATGGCTGAGACACTAAGTGCTGTTGAGTAACAGTGTTAAGGTTTTTTTTTCGATCAGAGTGCAAAGTGCAAGGTAGGATTAAGACCTTTTTTTCTAAGGCTTATTAATTAATAATTTATAAATTAATTTTAATTATATTAACATAATTATATAGGACCAAACCGGACCACTTAGTCTAGATGCTTGGTCTCTAGTCTGGTCTTACCTAAAAAATCAGTCCTATCTTTTTGGTCTTTTTGGTCCTATAGGACCAGTATTTTATAAGACTGGACAGAACCGGATTTTCATGGGTCGGACCGAACCGAACGAGACCACGAGACTTTTGCACAACTCTAGTACACATGTTTATGTTGTAATATGTTGTAACACATTGTGTTTACTTAATAAACATTCCTTTATTGGAATCGCTTTCTTGAGCATGAATCTTCAAGGGGACATGACTAAGAAATATATATATTACATACATATAATATTAATTATTTGAGTAATAAATCAGTTAGTAAAACTGTGCTCAGTTATCGCAAATGAAAATTATTGCACAAAAATCTCATCTAACAGAGTTTGTTGTTTTGAAATACTTTTAGCAAAGGGAAGCACAAATGTAGAGAAACAACAAGCTGTTGTGATAAATTCTGATGTTCAAAAATTACCCCAAAAAACTAAAAAAAATCTAAAATTAAAGGATAATCAAACTTTTAATCAGTGTTTTAAAAATCAGACTAAACCGACCGGTTCAACCAGTTGAACTGAGAATTGACTCTTGATTCGATTGACCCCTTAAAATTGGCCACAAGAGAACCGGTCAATGACAAAAAAAGTCAAAAATCGATAAAACTAATTGATAATCGGACTGGTTTTTTTAAAAATCAATCTAAATTAATTAAATTTTTAAAAAAATTAATTTGAAAATTAATTAAAACAAAGAATAGCTAAGAATAATTAATATTAATTATGTATTCATCAACAATATATCATTTTCTCTAGCATTTATTAATATTTTTTAAAATATAAATATTTACATATATTTCTTATTTAATTACAATACATAAATTAAAAATATATTAATTTAATGTCTACCAATTCAACCACGGTTGAACCATTGAACTGTAAACAAGTAGCTAGTTCGGTTTAATGACTGGTTTGATTTTTAAAACTTTGCTTTTAATTCTCGAGTTTACTTTAATTATCAATTGAATATATATATATATATATATATATTACATACATATAATATTAATTATTTGAGTAATATACCGGCTAGTAAAACTTTGCTCAGTTATCGCAAATGAAAATTATCGCACAAAAATCTCATCTAACAGGGTTTGTCATTTTGAAATACTTTTAGCAAAGGGAAGCACAAATGCAAAGAACCGACAAGCTGTTGTGATGAATTCTGATGTTCAAAAATTACCTCAAAAAACCAAAAAAAAAAGCTAAAATTAAAGGGTAATCAAACTTTTAATCAGTGTCTTAAAAATTAGACCAAACTGACCGGTTCAACCAGTTGAATTGAGAATTGACTCTTGGTTCAATTGACCCCTCAAAATTGGCCACAAGAGAACCGGTCAATGACAAAAAAAAAAGTCAAAAATTGATAAAACTAATTAATAATCAGACTGGTTTTTTTAAAAATCAATCTAAATTAATTAAAATTTTTAAAAAATTAACTTGAAAATTAATTAAAATAAAGAATAGTCAAGAATAATTAATATTAATTATGCATTCATCAACAATATATCATTTTATCTAGCATTTATTAATATTTTTTAAAAATATAAATATTTATATATATTTCTTATTTAATTATGATATATAAATTAAAAACATATTAATCTACCAATTCGACCACAGTTGAACCATTGAACTGTGAACTAATAGCTAGTTCGGTTTAATGACTGGTTCGATTTTTAAAACTTCACTTTTAATTCTCAAGTTTACTTTAATTATCAATTTAATATATATATATATATATATTATATACATATAATATTAATTGTTTGAGTAATAAACCGGTTAGTAAAACTTTGCTCAATTATCGCAAATGAAAATTATTGCACAAAAATCTCATCTAACAGAGTTTGTCATTTTGACATGCCTTTAGCAATGGAAAGCACAAATGCAGAGAAACGGCAAGTCGTTGTAACAAATTCTGGTGTTCAAAAATTAACCAAAAATACTAAAAAAATTAAAATTAAAGGATAATCAAAATTTTAATCCTCAAATTTCCATTAATTATTAATTTAATTATTTAAATTTATTTTTATAAATTTAATTTTTTAAGTTTGTCTCAATTATTAATTTACTCTTAAGGAGGATATAACATTGTAAAAATTATCTCACATGAACACCAAAATATTAATGGTTACCATATAGATTAATAAAAAAGTATAATTATCTGAGAAAAAAATTATATAGCAAGCATTATATATATAAAGTATTTGTTTTTAATTAAATTAAAATATGTAAATCTTTTATATATAATTATTATATAACAATTTTTTGTTGTTAATATTTTTAGTACATTACAGTCGATTTGGCTTTATTTGATTGAATAAAAGTATATTAAAAATATAAATATAAAAATATAAGTTATATCCTAATTATTTTTATCAGAAAAACATATTTAGAAATTTTTACAAATAAAATAAAAAAGCATATATAAATGACTAGACTGACAAAAAATTATATTAATTTGAAAAATAATTTACTCTCATTTAATTGTGTGTGTGTGTATATATATAATAAGTTATTAGCATACTTTACATTTTAAATTAATTTAAGAGTTAATTTATATTTTAATTTAAAAAATTAATAACATGATAATTGTTTGACCAGTAATGACATGATAGTTGAAAAAATAATATGGAACTAATTTGATAAAAATTAAAATTTTAAAAATAAAATTAATAATTAATAATTAACATAAATTTAAGCGATTCAAATTCTAAGTATCATTATTCCTAAATTTAATATGGAGAAATGCGGGCCACGCCACCTCGCTTTTGTCTGCGGATTGAATCTCCGCCGTTCGTTTTGTCACATTCTGATTAACGATTGGTATTTACAGTACAATGTTTTGAGAGTGGCATTTTCGTAAATTTATCCCTCTACCGCGAATGCAGCGCACCGGTCGCTCGCCCCGTTTTTCTTCCGACGTAATATTTGCACAGTTCTGTCTTACAATACAAAAATTGGCTCCCCCTCTCCTGTCTCTCTGAGTTCGATCCATTGTCTTCCTGTAATTCGGTTTCTGATCTCTGAGGATTTGTTCTCTTCCAAAGCTAGTTACTCTCTAATCTGGGAAAATGGTGAGCTTTTTCTTTGATCTATTCTTTTGCAGGCCATGTTCATTCTACATTTCTGAACACCCTAGATCTGGAGCGAGTTCGCTTCGATTTGATATTTTCTGATCATGTTGTTAATTCTTTCCTATTTTATTTGTTTTTTTATTCCAATGGGAACTAACATCGAATTCTACATCAATTGGTGTTTGTTCTGTTCTTTTTTACGTGCATTTGCAGCCTCTCAGACTCGAGATCAAGGTACTCATATTTCGCCTAGTGATTCATTCAATATCTATGAGCTACTTGGCGCTTGTTTCCTTGAAGATGTGTTTGGTTGCTGAGAAATGCTTGATAAACTTGTCAGCAATGCTTTTTATTCACTTAAAATTTCTCAGCAACCACCAAGCGCACTCTTGAGTGTTTAGCTTTCTAATTACTTAGCTGACGTTTTTTCCATTTCTCGATCAGAGAAAGCTTGCCCAAAGATCAGAAAGAGTAAAATCCGTGGATCTACATCCAAGGGAACCATGGTAGTTCTTCATTCTTTCTTCTTGTCAATAAGAGTAATTATTTTTTCTATGGAGGAGGTTGCATGTGCATATGCTTCTATTGATTAATTATTTCTCAAATGTGGCCCTCAGAGTATTTTGTCATTAATAGCAATGTTTGTTATCGGGGCATACTCTAGATCTTATTCAACTTTTTGTTGAGGTATAGGTTCGTAGTTACTGGTTGGAGTATTGAACGTATTTCTGAATTATGTGATACTATGAATGTTAATGCAGGATTCTAGCAAGTTTATACTCAGGAACTGTCTGTATTTATGACTACCAGTCTCAGGTATGTAAAGTTATAGTTGAATAATGTATGCTGTTTACAATTTTACATGAACTTTATGCAATTGAGAATTCTGATAGTGGATGTATTGCTTCAAATCATGATGTGGGCACTGGGCACTGTACTTAAAGTTTTGTCTCTAATCAGTTTTGTCATAATAATTGAATACTGTGTGTTGTTTACATGAACTTTATGCAATCGTGAAATCTCATGGTGGATGTATAACTTCAAATCATGATACAGGAACTGTACCAAAGGTTTTGCATCTAATTTTTTTTTAATCATTTACTTTTACTTATAAGATAAATTCACTTTTTCTTTTATATATATATATATATAATGGTTCTTTTAACATGTACTAATATTCATGATTATCTGTGATTTTTGTTTTAACATGGACTGATATGTATTTACAGATTGATGTTAAAAGGTTTCAGTTTCCTGTTTTTAAATTTCTCCTATATATATGTTGAAGTCATTCACTAGCCTGTCTTCCATAAATGGACGTATGTCAATTTCTATGGGGATATCTTGTGAAACATGCCCTGAAAAGAAATGTCTTTGCTGCTATTTCAGACCATGGCAAAGTCATTTGAGGTCACTGAGTTACCAGGTACATATTCTCTTGTATTGTTTTTTTCCATCTTTTTTATTGAATGGTCCAAAGAAATACCTTTTCTTTGAATTTTTCTTGCTTCAAGAAGACTGCTTTGGGGCTAAACTATAGTATGATATTGCAGTTAGGTCAGCCAAGTTTATTGCACGCAGGCAGTGGGTTGTTGCTGGAGCAGATGATATGTTTATTCGTGTATATAATTACAACACAATGGATAAAGTTAAAGTATTTGAAGCACATACAGATTACATAAGGTGTGTGGCAGTTCACCCTACCCTTCCTTATGTCCTGTCATCTTCTGATGATATGCTCATAAAGCTTTGGGATTGGGAGAAAGGTTGGGTATGTACTCAGATATTTGAGGGACATTCCCATTATGTCATGCAAGTGACATTTAATCCTAAAGACACTAATACATTTGCCAGTGCATCTCTAGATCGCACCATAAAGGTATATTAGTGCTCTTGTTGAAAGGTACTTTTGGCGCATTCTTTGTTAAAATCCATGCTTGCGTGATTTAATGCTTCACTGGTCTTCTCTTTCCAGATTTGGAATCTTGGCTCTCCTGATCCCAATTTTACATTGGATGCCCATCAGAAAGGAGTGAATTGTGTTGACTACTTTACAGGCGGTGACAAACCTTATCTGATAACTGGTTCTGATGATCATACTGCTAAGGTTGTCATTCATTTTCTGCTTTCTCTGTTTTTACCTTTGATTTAGTTGCCTACAGAACTGTGACATAAAATATGTATGAGTAATGAAAAGGAAATATTTTCATTGATAAAATCTATGAAACAGGTATGGGACTATCAGACCAAAAGTTGTGTCCAGACTCTAGAAGGTCACACGCACAATGTATCTGCTGTATGCTTTCATCCTGATCTTCCTATAATTATTACTGGTTCAGAGGATGGTACAGTGCGCATATGGCATTCAACAACTTATAGGTAATATTTGATTGATATGCTCATTCATCTCTTATTTTTGCTCCTATGTGATCTCTCTCTTATCAGGTTGCATTAGTTTTTCTTATTAATTGTTACCATGGCTTGGACAATGCAGTGTTAGGCAGACTTTTAAAGAGGATGAGTTTTTAAGCCAAGTTGTCTTTTGGTTCTGAACGTCATGAAATTGCTGTGCCTCTTCATATGCTACTTTTATTATTTAGATTAAGTTTTGAAAGTGTTCATTTCTTCATTTGGTAAATATAAATGTCTGGATTGAATGTTTTCTTGGGACTGCTTTGAAATTGAGACTTCCAAATTGGACAATGTTGTCCGTTCTTCCTTTTCTATTTTTCCAAATTTAGACTCATTTAAAATTTAATTGAGATTATTAATAGTATATTGACCCTTGATTTTAATATTTTATGTTGATTTGATCCACTTACAGACTGGAGAACACATTGAATTATGGTCTTGAAAGAGTTTGGGCTATTGGATATGTTAAAGGTTCACGTCGGTGAGTCTTCTTCCTGTAGTTTCTTAAATGAGTTTCTTTTTCTTGGCCGTGAAATCATGTAGAGTGGGATGATAATGTCAGGTCTTCTTTATGAAGTCTGCTTGTTTGATAACTGATTTGAGAAACTGTGTATCATGAAACTTGTTTGCTTCAATCTTTCCTTCAACAGATATTCTCCCCTTTTTCTTATCTTTAAGCTGTAAATGGTCTCTTTTCATTCTGCCCTCATGACATAGAACATCAAAACTTCTTCCTCTACAGGGTTGTGCTTGGCTATGATGAGGGAACTATTATGGTCAAATTGGGCCGCGAAGAGCCTGTGGTCAGCATGGACAATAGTGGGAAAATTATTTGGGCTAAACATAATGAAATTCAGACAGTCAATATAAAGAGTGTAGGAGCAGATGTGGAGGTTTGGGCTCATTTCTACCCTTACGTTTTTCTAAAATGTGAAGAAAAAGTAAAAAGTGTGATTATCATGATAATGTTATTTCTGATTTGATTTGTATGATTCAATATCACTTGGAACTTTAAATTTTAGAATGTTAGATTATATTTGCAAATCTTGTTTGCCTGAATCAATTCACGGGAATCCTTGGAGTAGTGCAATTCTCATTGATTTAAGATTGTGGGTTTTGGAGATGTAGTGAGATTGCATAAAGTCTGTGACTTTGCATTGAGTCTTGTGCAATATGATTGCAAAAGTCCTTAATTTACCCTTTCCTCTTACGATTTACAGCAAGGAATAACTGCAAATTTGAGTCCATATATCACCAATCCATCTCCTTTTTTAACCCTCTTTCATTGACGTGGATTTTTGAGGCCTCAACACTTTTGAAAAATTAGACCTTTTATCCTTTACCCTTTTTAATGAAATGTTTGCCATTTCAAATTTGAATACATTTGATAATTATTGTTATTTAAATCTTGCTTTGTTGATTTAGAGTTGACCTATTATCTTTACTTTCTATAAAACATGCTTACTACATTCTCAAAATGTTTGTTGGGTACGGGAAATTTTATCATTGAGTGGCATAAAATTACTTTGCTTCTCAGGTTGCTGATGGAGAAAGATTACCTTTGGCTGTTAAGGAGTTGGGCACGTGTGATCTCTACCCACAAGTGAGTTGTAATCGTGATTTTATATTAGACTGCATTCTGTTGAGATGCTTCTGAGTTTTCTTTTTTAATCACCACTCTGTTATAAAATGATTTCAAAGAAATGATCAAGGATTGATCAGAGGAGAATAGAGAACTGTGTCCTCCTAATTAGAACTCTGATACTTATACAAGGGTGGGGGCTCTATTTATAATCGTTTCCTTGAACAATTTTTTCTAGATCTATGGTATGAATGCAAACTGGGATTCTTGGTACAGAACTTACAGATAAGAATTGGTTTAACCATACGTAGGCTATATTATTTTATGTTAGACATTGGACTTCAAGGGAAATGAAAGTGATATCTATAACTTTGCCTGATTTTATGGGTGTCAGGAATTGTTCTTTGTTGACCCCACCTAGTGGGATAAAGGCTTGTTGTTGTTGTTGTTGTTGTTGTCTTGAATCTTCTGTGCATGAAATGGGCTTTGGGTTGATTGTTTTTCTTGTGCAGTTTCAGTTGCCAATTATTTGTTCCTTCGTGTATGTGGTGGTTAACTTTTGATTCACTAATATTATTTCAGAGTTTAAGGCACAATCCAAACGGGAGGTTTGTTGTTGTATGTGGAGATGGTGAATATATTATATACACTTCATTGGCATGGAGAAATAGGTCATTTGGTTCTGCACTGGAAATTGTTTGGTCTTCAGACGGAGAATATGCTGTCAGAGAAAGTACATCAAAGATTAAAATTTTCACAAAAATTTCCAGGTTTGTAATTCCTTAAGTGAGATGGTAGGAACCAATAATTTCTTGCTAATTTCTAAAATGAGGAAAGCAAACTAGATTCTTCCATTCCTGTACTGTTTTCAACAAGTAGGTCTTGATAAAATTAAGCTGCCTATTTGTTTTTCTCAAGTGAACCATTATGGGTGAACAATTTGACAAGAACATTTCCCTCTGTTGCCAATAGTACCAGTACATGTCCTGCCATGATTCTAGCTCTTCATTTGATTTGAAATTAAATAGAGTAATCATTTTATATAATTACTAAATGAAACAATTTTTTTAATGAATTTCAGGAAAAGAAGAATATTCGACCAACTTTTTCTGCTGAACGAATATTTGGTGGCACCTTGTTGGCAATGTGCTCAAATGATTTCATTTGCTTTTATGATTGGAGTGAATGCAGGTTAATCCGTCGTATTGATGTTAATGTGAAAGTAGGTGCTTCCATTACATGATGAATGATTTCTCTTTTTGCCTCTCTTCTTCTATTTATTGTTCTACTTTGTTTATTTTATGTTGACAGAATCTCTACTGGGCTGATAGTGGTGATCTAGTGACAATTGCTAGTGATACATCATTCTACATTCTGAAGTACAATGTGAGGATTCTGATAATCTGATGACTTAATTATTTTAATACGATAGCTTCCTTTCTCTGAAGAACATTGTTTTTCCTACATTGTCCCAATATGTTGGCCATACGTTGATACAAGGCAGTATAAACATTGTAACGTTCACTACTGCAGCGTGATATAGTTGCATCATCTTTGGATGGTGGAAGACCTGTCGATGATCTAGGGGTGGAAGATGCATTTGAGCTCCTTCATGAAATAAATGAACGGGTTAGGACAGGCATCTGGGTTGGAGATTGTTTTATTTACAACAATTCCTCTTGGAGGCTTAATTACTGTGTTGGTGGTGAGGTATTAAGCTTTGCCCCTTCTGTGCTTGAAAGAAGTGCATGTTTTCGTTTAAAACTTCGCGGATCTTATTAAGTCTCTGTGTTTAATAATATGACTTAGGTAACTACAATGTTTCATTTGGATCGACCTATGTACTTGCTGGGATATCTTGCCAGCCAAAGTCGGGTCTATCTGATAGACAAAGAGTTCAAGTTAGTGGACCTTTTGTTTTTTGTTATTTAAAGGTACAGCTTGCAGTCATGTTGACTAATTCTATTTATTTATTTTTTTTTCTTTAGTGTCATGGCATACACATTGCTTCTGAGCTTGATTGAGTACAAGACTCTTGTAATGCGTGGTGATTTGGGTAGGGCCAATGCAGTTCTACCTACAATTCCTAAAGAGCATCATAATAGGTATGGGGCAAACGTTGATTTTTTTTTTTATACTTTATTATTATTATTATTATTATTATTTTTTTGCCCGGGGCATAAACAATTTCCTTTTTTGCGTGAGAAATTAGATTGATTTAGGAAAAGAAAAATGCTTTAAGTAACAATTTTTCTTTATAAAATTATGTAAAAGTGGATAACTATTATGCTTTACACTCCACTTTATGCAACTCAGTGCAGACATTCTCTATTTTTTTTTTTAAACAAAACTCTTCAGCAAAATGGATTTTCTTGCTGATTTCCTGAGTAATTTTGCCAATTTGATAGAAAATGGAAGTGCATGTTATGTGTGATTGCAAAAATTTTTGACACAGATTAAACTTTTCTTATTAATTGCTCTGTGTCTTGGGTCCTTTGAGAGTTATTCTGGGCTGCATCCTCTGTTCTTAGTGCAGAGCTATGTGAATATATCGGATCAGTTCTGTACATCATCATATTTTTGCTTTTCATACCTGACCCCACCTAATGGAATCTTTTTATTGTTGCTATGCTTTAATGATTCCAAACCTCAATCATAAGCTTTTATAATCTACTGCTACGTTTTCCTTACCTTCGTGCAAAATGCTGTTTTTATATGCCATATGCTGCTTATTGTTGCCATAGATTTAAAATTTGGTGGCCAAATGACATCTGTGTTATAATTGTCAATGTGATCAAATGATAGTGTGGCTCATTTCCTGGAATCACGAGGGATGATAGAGGATGCCCTTGAAGTAGCAACTGATCCTGACTACAGATTTGAGTTAGCCATGCAGCTTGGGAGACTGGAGGTGGCAAAGGTAAGTTCATGTAACATGCATACAATGATATTATCTATGGACGTGTAAAATTGTTAAGTTGGGTACTTAATTTTCTTTTCTTTATGGAAGTCATCTAATTTGTCAGTTTAATGTAACTCATATTCTTTTTGTAGAGTATTGCAACAGAAGTGCAAAGTGAATCTAAATGGAAGCAGTTGGGAGAACTGGCTATGTCTACTGGAAAGGTAATGTGTCTAAGTGAAATGAGTTGGCACTGTTTCTTATCTCCATTGCTTGAGTAAATTGCAAGGGCTGTTTGTTTAATGTGACATTGTGAGAAGTGATTTATTGTGATAAGATTTTATTTAAAAAAAAAAAAGAAATCATTTTGCATCTGGCTTTAATCATAAAAAATGATTTTTTTACAGATTCTGGTTATTTTTGAAAGCTTAAACATGCAACGTAAAATTTGAATGTCCTTACCTGAATGTACAATTGCGAGGTCTTCAATTTTGGTAATGTGCTTTTGAACATTATGATGTGTTCATGATGACTCTGTACCTTATTGAGCCTTTTGGTGTGCAAGAAGTTATAGGTCATGCAGTTAGGACCAAATGAAGGTAGTCTGGGTGAAATTTCCGCTGACAAGTTGTATTCAGATGCCTTTTGTTTTAGATGCTTATTCTAAGATGTGATTGGAGTGTATGATGCCTGTTGGGAATTTCTGCTTTACTTCAGCTCATTGTATTTTCTGTTCCTGCAGTTAGAAATGGCTGAAGAATGTTTAAAGAATGCAATGGATTTGAGTGGATTGTTACTGCTATATTCTTCTTTAGGAGATGCTGAGGGAATATCAAATCTTGCAACCCTTGCTAAAGAGCAAGGGAAGAACAATGTCGCATTCCTTTGCATGTTTATGTTGGGTAAACTTGAAGACTGCCTTCAACTGTTGGTAGAAAGGTAATCTTCTTTAGTTGTTTCCTTTTGCGTCCATAAACTACTAACACATGTAGGGAACAAGTTGACTAGAATGAGGTCTTACATAGCTCACTCGTTCCTTTGCAGCAATCGGATTCCTGAAGCTGCTTTAATGGCACGGTCTTATCTCCCAAGCAAGGTCTCAGAGATAGTAGCAATTTGGAGAAAAGATCTCCATAAGGTAATTTCTAATTCTGATGTATTGTATATTTTTGCCTAGTAAAACTGCCTGAATGTCATTTTTATTGTGTGTAGAGCTACTTATTCTCAAGCACCTTTCCAAGGAGGCTTATCATCTTAAAAGAAGATTTTTTGCTTAAAGATAACTAATATGTTTCCTTGGTATACACGTCAATGCTTTTATGTGCAGGTTAGCCCCAAAGCTGCTGAATCATTGGCTGATCCTGAGGAGTATCCTAATTTGTTTGAAGACTGGCAAATTGCAGTTGCTGTCGAGTCTAAAGCTACAGAGACAAGGTTAGAGTGTGAAAGTGCTCAATTTCTATATGTTTTGATTGTGCTAGTTCTTATTCAAAGAATATCAGAATAATAAAAATGATGTTCAATCTTTCTTCTTCTTCTTCTTCTTTTTTGGTATGTAGGGGTGCTTACCCTCCTGCACAGGAGTATGTCAAGCGTGCTGGAAAGTCATATGTTACCCTTGTCGACACTTTTAGAAATATGCAGAGTGAAGAGGGGAAGGAGCTTCTTGAGAATGGAGATTCTAATCATGAGGTATACTACTTAAAAAGATAACCTCATATGAATTAGTTCACAAGGATAAACTAAAATTCATGAACTAAATATGAAGTACTTTGTTTTTATTTATTTATTTTTTGTTGTGTAGATTTCCACAAATATTAAGAGTCGGTCTTAAGAGTGTTGTTTTATGTAGTTTGTTGTCATTTTGTTACAGTTGGTTGAACAGAATGAAGAAGAGCTCGACGCAGAGGAAAGGCAGGAGGAACAGAATGGAGAGGAGGCTGTTGTGGTGGATGCTGATTCTACAGATGGTGCAGTACTTGTTAATGGCAACGAGGCTGATGAAGAGTGGGGTACGAATAATGAAGGAGCCCCGTCAACCTAAAAGCAATTTGTTGGAACAGTGTGAAAAATCCAAATTTTGTCTCTGGTGATTAATTGTTTCTGTAGTGCCGTCTCTAACTCTCATTTTGACACCTTGCTGTTTACTATGACTACCTATACTGCCTAAGCCCCAACCATTATAGTTGCGTCATCATATACTTTTCCGTTATTAGTTTTATGTTTGGGAATTAGATATCTCTAAAATTATGCCCATTTAAAATAGGGAACCACCACTCAAGTCTCAATAACTCTAATTTAATTTTTTTTTCATTGATTTTTGCAACTATTTGGCTTGGGATAAGTGGCAATTGGCTGCCAAATGTGAATTACTGTCTTTAGTTGATTTGTTCCGGGTAATCAATCGACTGGATTTGACCGATGCTGAATATATTTTTGTAGATCCGGCTGTTGTGTAAGATCAGGTTTAAATCGAGATACTTCCATGGCTATAAATTATATCTTCACAAAGTTTTAGCTGGCTTTGACTGAGTTTTTATTGTCCATTGAATTGCTTTTCTCCGCCATGATCATATTGTAGATTCATGAAACTCTTGTACATCCATAATGAGTCTTTCACCATTTGGTTATATTAGATTTCTCCTCAGCAAGCCTTTTATTTTTTCCCCCCAATAATAGCTTGCTACTGTATCCTTCGTAGCTGTCATGTGACTGTCCATTCATTAGATTATTGTCCTTCAAATGATGTTCATTTAACATAAAGCCGTATCTATTTCTATTTTAATGCGGTTGGATTCTTGTTTCTTGAATCTCAACTTTGTTTTCTCTTTTGTTGACAGTGCTCACTCCACATCACTAGGTCTCATCAAGACAGACGGTTCCAGCTCCAGTGGATGTATATGAGGTAAGAATAAGAGTAAACACCGTATTGGATTCCACTTGAACATGCTGATTATGCCTATTTTTATTCATTAAAAAAATTTCGTTAAATGTCGGTACTGGTTGCTTACCTAATATGGAAAGTCATAAATATGTCTCCATCAACAAAAATGGGCATCCATTTCAATTAAAAAAAAAATAATGGGTTATCAATATATAATCGTATTGTTTTGTCTGACTGGTATATATAGTTAACATATAGAATTATAGAACACACGGATTGGGTCCTTGACAACACTACTTAACATTTGTGTATCGTGCTGATAGATGCATTGCATGTCTTTGGATGGCGGCATGGGAAAATTTTACTTGAGTCCCTTGTAAACCAATTATTATTAACACTTTGGCACTTGAAAAAAACAGTTAATATAATATATTACAATCATTAATCACGAAAGGGTTATAAATTCAAGAGACCGGAGTATTAATAATTTTCTTTTGGGAACCCAAATGACATTCTCCCTTTTTTGTCGGTTTATGTTATCATTTTTGTTTAATTGAATATAAAATGCAGGTTTCAGTCACGGAGGCCATGATGAGATAGTGGAGATCAATTGTTCCCAATTCCCATTTCCTGGTATTGTGGTTTTAGGATGCCGACTTTTGTCATCTTGCAAGTGGTATAACGATATAACAGTATAGCGTAGGGTCTGTTACATTTTGCCACATTATGTAGCATTCTTCTGAGGATTCTTGCCTCCATAGGCCTGTCCCGTTTTGAAAGTAGAAAGCTGAGGCTGATGATGATTGATTGTTCAAATTCTAGATGGTAATATTGGTCCCAAATATATTGATTATTGATATTCTTTTGGATTGAAACCCGGACCTTTAATAGCTAAAATAAAGATTCTTTCCCAGAATCTTGTTTCTGTTGAGACGATGTTGTTCAAGCTCTTCAAACTGTATTATGTCTTTATCAAAATATATAGGAAGGTTTTTTGCCACCCTTCTTTTTTCGATTCTAATTTAATTTCTTTTTCTGTTGAAATTCAGCCATGTTTCCTGTTTCCAATAATTTATGCATACTTTGATTCGGATCCTCCAATGTGAGGTAATAATTGAATGGTGGAATTCCACTGTGCCAATCTAAGCTTCTGAATTTCTATCTAATGTAACTTTTATTGTTTTTTCTTGGCCAAAAAAAAAATTTGTTGTTTCCTCTTTACATTGTCTCACAAATAATAGTTTGTAATAATTTTGAAAACAAAGATGGACTTGTTAATTATGACACAATTGTGAGAGGAAGCAGAGAGAATGAATCAAAAGTTGCACTACAGATTCAAAATCTTTATCTCTCCTACTGTGACACTATTTGCTTGCATAAAAGGAATCAAATTCCAGATAGTGAAATGATCCAGGAGTAGGTTGGCCCTAGCTGGGTTAGCTCATTGACGTATCAAATCAAGATTTCTTGTTCGTCGAAACAAAATATTCACGTGATATAAGCATTTGGATTTGGTAATAGGTTTATATTCATTTAATTAATGGGTATTTTAATTATAGTCATTAAATTTTATAAGTACTTAAAAATTATTAAATATTTAAAAATTATTAAGATATATTTCCTTTAAACATTCAAAATAGTTTTCACGATCAGAATGCTTCTCATATGTATTAGTATCTTCCAAAAATTTGAGATTTGATTCTAATTGAGTTTCATGTGGCAAAATCTTTAATAGTAATTTAATTAAATTAAATAGTTGTTGTTATACATGTGAGACATTTATTAAGGAAGTGGATTTGTGTCAATATAAATCTGTAATATATGGAAAAAATTTGAACTGATAAGCGGTCTTTGAGACTATTTAATAAAAGCGTTAAGGCCTATTGCAGGTAGCTTCTTGGTGAGGAGGGCCTGAAGTTAGGTTGCTGTTAGACGTAGTGATATAAGCTGAAGATGATCTCGAATTTAAAGAAAAATATGAAGAGTAATTAATTAAGAGTAACTAATAAGATTTTCTCTAATTTAATGCAAAGGCTTTAAGTAACCGCTTGTTGCTTAGTCAGTAACACTTGTATGGAATTATTTACCGATTCAAGTTTCCAGTTGTAATATTAATGCTTCAAGTACACCCTTTTATTAGTGATTTTGAGAGTTCATGCCCAGAAACAAACCAGAGAGAGAAAGAGGGAGTTCAGAACTCAATTCGTGAAAATGCAAACGTGGATGCGTAGACGAGCTTCAAATGTGCACGTAGAGAAAGAAGTTCAATGTGCCCGCAAAATGTATTATAAACAAATTATTTAAAAAAAAAGTATTTTAAAAATAGGCAATAGTAATAGAAAACAACCCTGTAGAGAAATCGAAACTGAGCTGTTCGTCCTTCCTCTTCCATACCTTGAGTTGATTTTTTTTCTTTCAATTAAAAATCAAAATTTATCCGTTTTCTCTCTGATCCTTTTTTTTCTCTCTCTATCCAAAAGCTTCTCTGCCTCTCCCTCCAAGTCCTAAGAATACGAACAGCTCGTCCAGCCGGATTATCTGGGTCCTAGCTTCTCCTTGTTTCCTATTGTCTTTCTCGTACATGCTCACTTCTTTTTTTATTCTAATACACCTATATTTTTTTATGTGTTTTATATCCTTGCTGCGTGCTAGATTGTGTTTGAAATCTACGATCCTGTTTCGTCATCATGTGCAGTTCGTTTTTATGTTTTTGATTCTCAGTTCGTGTCTGATGATTGTTAGGAAACGAAGTTGAGTTTAAATTGTGCTGTTTCATTTGACTTCCGTTAATATCTTACTCTAATTTACTTTTAAATTGTTTTTTTTTTTTTGGCTGTATTTGAGCTACTGGGAATGGGTTGTTTACTTGGAACACAAAATATTCTTGTTACTTTCCTCCAAGGATCGTGTACGGAAAAATTAGCACTGACTCTATTAGCCGGCAAACATTTGGAATTCATTTTTTGGGTATTAATTCGATTAAACTGTGTGCCTATATGGGTGTTGGGCTGTTATAGTAGCAGTATTATTATTAATTTTGATGAGAAATTGTTGTCTGTTGAGATAGCTATGCAGTTCATCAAGACAAAAGACGGTGGTCTAAATCTGATGCTGTGCTAGTTGGCCTTGAAATAGAATTTGCCTACCTTTTTTTAATTAAACGGAGATGGTGTAGACGTCTATATTGAAAATATTATTAAATCCTGGGCTTGTCTCTCTAATGATTCAGCATCCTGAGGTGCTGACTTACTGTTTATTCAGCAAGAATGCCTTTTTTTCATTTTTCATTTTTTTTCTAAGTTGTGGCTATGAAACAGATAGAAAGATTTTGTGCTCAAAAAATCTAGTTCCGTTCACTTGGACTGCAGCGGACCCTAATCTTTCTTAAAACTACTTGTAATTATGATCCTGGTGATGGTAACCGTTGACTGTATGCATCTTTTACTTGAGACCTCCAATACTTCCATTGATTGAGCTTCAAAATATGTTTTAGGTTTTATTAGTATCTATGAATTCCACCTTATTCGAATTGTACTCTACCTTTTAACAGATTAGATCAAGTTATTGTATTTGTCACATGCAATGTACATTAGCAGCAGTACATAAGAGTTAGTCTTGAAATGCTAGTGAGCACTAGACTTTTCATATTCTTTCAAGGAAAGAGGTGGTTACCTTGTTAACTTCATATCGAAGGGAAACTGGTGCATTTTGTGTTGAATTTTATTTGAGTGACTTTGGCCCAAGGATTGGTATTCATGTTTCACAAATGAAGTATCCCAAGGCTATTAGTGTTTGGGCATGGGTGCTTTGCTTTTTCAAACATGCACTATGATTCATGAAGCTTATGTTATTCTTGGTACCTTGAATTTCGCCCTTGATTTGAGGAGAACATTATACTCTTCTGGTTGCAGCTGTTGATTTTCTCTGATTTGACAACAGATCAGTTCTCAAGCTGTAGATTGCTGATTTCTTTCATCAATGGGAGAAGCTGAGAATGCTGTTCCACCTTCAAAGAAAAGGGCTGCTGGAAGAGAGCTCTGTCGAGACACTCCTATTGATGAGGAGGAAGATACCGCAGGGCTTGAATCTGGAACTTTCAAGAGGGCCAGTGATGAGGTTCTTGCAACCAGGAGAATTGTCAAAGTTCGCCGCCAACAGCATAGTTCTGTCCTATCTTCAAATCCTTTTGCTGGAATACGTTTGGTTACTCACACCGAATCTAGTGCTAATCCTGCTGAGACTACTACTGAAGCATATTTGGCCAGTGAAAGCACCACTGCAGATAATACAAAAGGTGCTGATTGTATAACCAAGGATTCTGGAAAGAGTAGAGATGGGGATGATAATCAGTCTGAGATCAGAATTAGTGAGGTGGAGGATCAAAATGCTAGAAATAAGGATGCTCCGGAAGAAAGCACTGAAAAGGAGTATACGGTAGAGGAGAATGTCAATAATAAACCTGACGTGGATAATGACCAAAGTAAGAATGGCAATAACAATGAAAATGAGGATACTTGTATGAGAGGCAGGAAAAGTGCTAGTGACTTAGATAGAGAAAACGCTGAACATGACAATGATACTGAAACAGATTATAAGAAAGGTAAAGAAGTTGAAAGTGGAGAGCCCAACGCAGAAAGTGGCCATTTTAAGTCATTTCAACAACTTTCAAGCAGCCAAAATGCCTTCACAGGTCTTGCTGGCACTGGATTTTCTTCTTCATCATTTTCTTTTGGGTCTGTATCAAATGACGGTTCTGCTTCTGCTTGTATTTTCGGAACAAACAATGGAAAGCCTTTTGGTCTAGGTTTATCCAGCAATGGGAGTTCTGTATTTGGGGTGTCTACAAGCTCAGTTGCTTCTACGAGTGATGGAAGTGGCCTTTCAAAGACGCAGGAAGTTGCGGTTGAAACTGGTGAAGAAAATGAGAAAGTGGTTTTTAATGCAGATTCTGTATTATTTGAATTTGTGGATGGAAATTGGAAGGAAAGAGGAAAAGGGGAAGTGAAGGTCAATGTTACTTCAGTTGGAACAGAAAAAGCCAGACTTCTTATGAGGTCAAGGGGAAATTTCAGGTTGATTTTGAATGCTCGCCTTTATCCTGATATGAAGCTAACAAATATGGAAAAGAGAGGGGTTACTTTTGCCTGCATGAACAGTGCCAATGATGGGACGGATGGTCTCTCAACTTTTGCTTTGAAGTTCAAAGATGGCTCCATCGTTGAAGAGTTTAAACTTGCTATCATGGCGCACAATGACAAAGGTGAGGCGTCTAGAGGTCTAAAGAACCCAGAAAATTCGCCTTCTGACAGGGACAAAAACTAGGGAAAATTTCTTAGGTATCTGTTATTAAATTTTTAATAAAATAGAGACTGGTTTTGGGTTATCAAGTCATGTGTGCAGTGATGAGCTTTGGATAATAGATATCCACATGTTATAGGTAGTCTGTATTTTGTCATAGCAGATCCATGTTTTATGGGGTCAAAATTGTCTATATATATTATATACATATAAGAACTTTACAAGTACACTTTTTATGAGACATGAACATAAGGGCTCATTTCTATGGTGTTTTTGGCTGCAAACTGACTTTTGCATAAGCCGGATGACAAAAAACTGACTTTCGCATGGAATATTAACTCAAAATTAGGTTTTGCAAATGGGAAAAGAATGTCAAAACTCGTTTTTGCAAATTGATAGCCAAACACATTCAAATTTGCATCCCTTGGCGGGTGGCAGAGTCTTGCCCTTGGAAACATCTTTCTTGCTCAGACTTCTTGCCTTCTTTGGAGAAAATAATGTCTTTGAATTATCTTTATTGGATTGAAAATTTTGATGATGCAATTACAATTAAATATTAATAATATTTAAGTTAGAACTTTCTTTTACTTTTTTTTTGTATTTTATTATTAAGAGCTACATTATAGATGTATTGTGTGTTTAGATTTCAGTCTACATTTGATAAAAATCTATTTAGAAGATTCAACTATTTATTAAATTTGGTAAAAACACATCTTAGATGTGATTTAAATGTACTTTTGAGGTTATCCAAACAAGCCTATATTTTATCTTATTTGCTTAGAGTGTGCTATTTAGCTACTCCATAGTTATAAACATTACACCTTTTGTAACATCCCATGTTTAATATATAAGTTACTTCACATATTCTTAGGAGCAATTAATAATTTTTACCAAAGAGTATTTTAGTATCATATCAAAATTACTTAAATCACATCTTACAAATAATTGATGATTGGTAGTTATATAAGTGTTTTTTTTTTTTTTTGGGAGAATATTACCTCCTCTTCCTTTCCATCCTCTCCTCTTCTTGTTTCTTTATTACCATTAAATCAAGATTTAGAATATTCAGATTTACTCTTCTATAAAATTATTATTAAAATATTATATCATAAAAAATAGAAATAATAAAATTCAAACTACAAAAATTTAATATTAACAATTACAAAATACTATAAGCACAAAATAAAATAATTTTTTATAAGAAATCAAATTTAGACTATTCAATAATCTTGATCTAATAGTTAAAAAATAGGAAGATAAAAGGAAGAGGATGGGAAGAAAGAAGGGAGAATTCTCTTTCTTTTTTGTTGCTCACATGTATACTCTTATTGAAGATAATTTTTTTTATCTTAATACATGTCTTAAAAAAAAATCTTTATACACATGTACTCCTTAAAACATGAGGCATTTTTAATTAAATTACTTTTCTCAATAAATTAATTAATTATCTTTAAATTGGTATTATCTATATGTGTTTGTTCTTATTTAATAAGATGTCTCACTTAAAAAGTGTATGGTTGAGTAGTTTATTGATTAAAAGTATGTTTGAAAAAAAATCATTAATTACACATTAAAAAATTAAAAATATCTTATATTTTTTAACAAAATGAGTATAATCTCTTTATTAAAGTCTTTTATTTTTGCATTCTCATTCCATATTCACATTATCAATCAATATTTAATAGTATAAAAGAAGCTTTTGTAGATATAGACCATATTATAGAATCATACTAAATAAATAGCCCCACATTTGTTATATTTTATATTATGATTAGTTTATTATATTTGTTAATAATATATTATTGTATATCAATAATAAACCCTTTATAAATTTTTAAATTTTTAGTGAAAAACTATTTGTATATTAATGTGAACGGTTATATTCTCAATGCTCAACAATCTAACACTAAAATTTTTGGGTATAAGATTTTTTTCGACTAGTTGACCAATTTATCCTGTAAAATATAGTATTAGATTTATAAAATATAGTATTGCTTTAGTTCTTAATATAAGAAGAAGCTATCAAATTTCATACTTATTAATAATGTTAGGTATAACCTTGAAATTGTTAAAAAAATATAACTTTCCAATTTTCCTTTCTTTGTATATATTAAAGATAATAAATTGTATGTTAAAAATAAAGATGGTAAATTGTTGTTTAGGAATTCAAACAACAATAAATAAGCAAGTAGTAAAATTGAAAAAAAAAACAATAATTACTCTAATTTCATTTTATATTAAGAACAAAAAAAATTTAAATTTCATCTTATATTAAGGATTGAAGGAATGCATAACTACATAAGAGCCCACCTACTTAATGGGAAAGAATATATGAGGAAAAAAAAATACTCGTTATTGAGAGGAGTAGTTTGTTATCTCACTTAAAAGTGAAGGGCTGAGTAATAAATTTATTAAGAATATTTTTTAAAAAAGCTTACTAATTAAATATTAAAAAATTAAAAATATTTTATATTTTTAATAACTAACTTTAGAAAAAATATTTTATATTTTTTAATAGAGAGAATAATATTTTTTAAAATATAACCATCAATGCTATATTAATTACAAGGGAACATACTGCTCTTAATTACAATGGCAAAATAGAAAGAAAACAATTAATGCACCAAACATTACCTAAAATGTCTAACATTAAGGATTAAAAAGAAAAACCTTCTAGACTTGGCATTGGGTAAGAGTGAGCATTTTAAGAGGGAGCATTAATTTCTCCTTCCATAAATGAAAAGTGGGAAGGAAACGAACAACTTTAAGAGAATCAGCATTAAATGCAAATTAGCATCTAATCCAATGACATTAATGACCAAGATTCCACAAGCATTCAATTGCCATCTTTTTCATAAATGCTTTATGAACCAACCTCTTGTTATAAATTGCATTATACATTTGGAACCACACACATCATTCTTGCCAAAACAACATTAATAAAAAACAAAACACAAAAATGGAGAGACATGAAAAGATAATGTCTATAAGAAGAGGAATGTTGACAATGCTTCTGATTGCAATGACAATGACAATGACGATGATGATGACGATTGCAAGTGTTACAGAAGGAGCAAGCCCATTGGAAGCTTGCTATGGAGAATGCTACTCAAAGTGTGATGTGAGAAAATCCCTTTGGTGTGGTGCCTTGTGCTTGGGAAAATGCAAACATGGAAAGTCCATTCCTGATAATCTTTGCAATTGCACCTATACTTGTTCCAACCTCATGTGTCCTCATGTCGGCTCTGGTATGAACCCAAAACTAAAACTCACTTGCATTTTTCATGAATCATATGAAATCTGAAAAATAAATTATGTTTAGTCTTATTAGTTACTTGAAAATAATGTGACATGCTATAAATTTTACTAACAAAATGAATTGAGAGTTGTATGAGAAGTTACAAAGAATTAAGATGTAAACCACGAGTAATGGTGACAAAAAGAATTTATTTAAAAGTAATTTAATTCACTTGTCCTGTTGATAAATTGAAAGAATATATCATGATGATTTATAACATTGATTCTTTTGTTATTGCAGATCCAGAAAAAGCCAAAAGATGTATTTTTAGGTGCTCCAGCTTGTGCAACATCAAATACTAGGTTGTATGTATGTGGTGTGAAGTTGTAAACACAAGTTGAGAAATGAAATAAATGGATTTATTAAATTGATTCCTGTTGAGTTATTCATCATTAATTTGCGCTATCACTCGTCAAGCAAATCGTTTTTTTTTTTTTTTTGGGACGGGAGATAAACTATATTCAATCAAATCATTTGCTAAGACTATAATATTATACTTGGCCGTCTCAATTTATAAAATATTTTTAAATAAAATCATGTATGTCAATATATTTATTAAATACATTTTATAATTTTCCTTTTAAAAAAAGAACTTAAAAAAATGTCATTCAGTGAGTGTACTTATACTCCAATTACAAAATAATATGAGAGAGAGAAAGTATAATGGGAAATTAATATTGAATAATAATTATTAATGAAATTTTATTTTTATTAAATATTTTATATTTTAAAATGTTAAATATCTCACCAAAAATATATGACAGTTTGATAAATTGAGACAGAAGGAGTAACGATAATAGTCTAAGTCTAATTTATCGTGCATGAATGTTTGATGAAAAGCAAAGAATATATAAAATGATCGATCATCGCTTCATTGGAAAATGCAAACAAAAATGGGGCATTATGTCGCGTAAATACTATTTAATGGAATAGAGTTAAGTCAACTCATATAATTGAGTTTCAACTTTATAGTTTATAGAATAAAAAACTAGAAATTACCAAGACTTGTTGATCTTAGTAAAAAAAAAAATTATAATATAGTTCAAACACGTAGTTTGAAAAATAATAAAATTTTAAATTATTTAAATTTATCTCAATTAACGATTTGATCTTCTAAATTTAACTTTTATTAATTTTGATTCTTTAAAATTAAATTTGATTCAATTATTGATTTGATCTTTATTATTTAAAAAGAGAAGACACAGTTAAAATTTATTGAAATGAATAGTGAAATATTAATGACAGCCATTTAAAAATTACTTAGGTTAGCAAAAAACATATTCAAATAGAAATTAAATTAATTTGAGAGTTAATTTATTATCATTTAACTAAATATACATGTCATATTATCAATATAATTTACACATTAAATTAATTTGAGAGTCAAATTATTTTTTAAAACTTAAAAAATTAATATAATAATTTAAGAAAATGTAAGGAATTAATAAAAATTAAATTCAAGACACTAAATCAATAACTTAAATAAACTTAAGGGACAAACTTCATTATCTACAGTTTTAAATTTAATAAACAAAATGTTTATGACAACTTATGAAAAAATAATCATTGTTGTTTTTTCTTAATGCAAAAATATCATTAGACCAAATTCAAATCCATGCCAATTCTATTTTCCCCCCTTAGATATAACTACATGATATTTTTTGGTAGAATAACTACATGTTGTTTTATTATGATATTAACTTATATTCAAGTATTATCAAACTTAAATAAGATAATTTTTTAAGAGTGATTAACTTATATTTTATCAATGTCTCCCACTTAACCCAATCACAAGTAATATTAGAATATAGCAAGGCTTGTTTGAATATTTTTTTGTCTTATTGTTCTCCGAATTAATGTTTTGTAAAACATATTCTAAAAATAAAAAAATGATAAAAACATATATTTTTTTTAAAACAATAATCACATAATATCTAGAATATATTTTTTTTAATTTTTCAAAACAATATTTTAATTTTTTTTTATTTTTCAAAATACTTTTAAAAAACATGTTATCAAACATTTTTTTTAATTTTGGAGAACAGAAATTGATTCTAGAACAAGTTACCAAATAAGTCCATATTTTTTGATACAAAATCCCAAAAATTATATTGATGCAATCTTGGGGGAATGTCATCAAACGATAAAAAATTAAATTAAACGTAAACAAAATAAAAGGATTTGAAAATCCAAATAAATATCAAAGGTCCTTCAGTGAATTGGTTTAAAAGTTAGCTACTTTCATTCTATGATTTCCAACCCTCAAAACAAAAATTTGTAGAATAAGATTTTTTAATTTGTAAAGAAAAACTTGTCAACTATATCATAACTTAAAAATTATTTTAAATAAATTAAAAAATTACTTGCAAAATAGTGTTTTGAGGATTGCGAGGAAGGGTATGAGATTAGCAAATCATTAAAAGTGATAATATTTTTGATAAGTTTTTTTTAAATAAATTAATGAAGTTTACTTGCAAATTGTTGCAAATCACAAGATGAGAGTGGCAAAATTTTATACTTAACCCACTAAAAGTTCTTTACTGTTCTCATTTTGAATTTTTAAATATTTTTATCCTTATTTAAGTTAAATGATTTTTTGGGTCCTTTATACAATCTTCATGTGCGATTAGACTAATTGGCTTTAATTCAAAATTTAAATGATATGTTCATGGGGCATTGACGTGTGATTATTTACTTATGGAGGATTTAAATCCTCTAAATTTGTAATTGATGAATTTGTGTTTAATTTTCTTTTTAAAAAAGAGAAAAGATCTTTTATATTTTATAAAATAATAAATGAATAAAAATATTAAAAAAACTTTACACAAATTTTCCAATTGCAACTTTAAAGGATTTGAATCCTTTAATTATACCAGCTCCTTTTTGGCAAAAATAAAATTATACTAACTCTTCACAGAATCACAATTCAATTTTTGTTTCTTTCAACCATAAATCAATAATATTAGGTATCATGGAATTGCCAGGAGTGATCCCAAAATTATTACTTCAATTAATAAGGTGAAGTTTATATCCTATAGTATTTAATTCCCAGGAAATTTTGTCTTCAGAACACATCATCCTTTTTTTAAAAAATCAATATATAATAAAATAAAAAAGTTACATAATCCTAATGGTCTTTAGGCTTGTGTCAACATTTTCTAAATCAATGATAAATATTGTTTCCATAAAAATTTAGGTTTTTTTCCCAGAAAAATTAGTTGTTTGGTGAATTTTTAAATGTTACTCCTCAATGTTATAAGACACTTTTTATTGAAATATCAAATTAAAAATATAAGATATTTTGAGTTTTTTAATATGATTCTTTTTCAAAATTTTTCTTAACTAGATATGTATTAATAAGATTTTTCTAATTTAGACAGCATATTAAGTAAGGGTAAAACAAAAGAACATATAATTTTAAATGTCATTAATTAACTTATTAAGAAATATAAATTAATTAAAAATACTTTATAATTTTGAACAGATATTTTTTTCCTAGTGAGCAAGCAAGTAACCAGGACTGCTCTATCCAATGGGATAAAATCTTAATTCCTAAGTGGAATCATCCAAAAAGAGCAAGGCAAATCCTAAGCTTCTAGCTGCCCCTTTCTCATTATTCAATGACAATGATGCGATTACTTGGAACAGGCACCAAAAATGGCTTGACTGTTTTTTGGCTTGGGATTCCTTTGGAAAATCCAATTACCTCCTGAAAGTACATCTTGTTTTGCATAGAAGTTGATTAACAAATGCTTGCTATCATCATCCTTTTGGCTGTGGAAACTTTAGATCACATTTGCATGAACTACCAACTTTCAAGAGCACAGTATGGTTTGGTCTTTTGTCCTTAGGATAACTTCCTTTCCCTTCTCTCCAAAAGCCTCTAACCAAACAACACTCCAGGTAAAAGTTAATCTTCTTGCTAATGATATTTCTGTATGGGTTAAAGAATTGATCATGCCAAGAACCATTTAGTTCAATGGCATGACCTTCTACTTTGATGCAAAGTGTTGTAGATTCTATTCCCATAAGACCCAAAAATGGGCTAGGGATTAGGTTAGATGAGTGTGTGTTTGTTAGTCAGGAGTATTGTTTTACATTCCCAATGAGATCGGATCCTCAAAATCCACAAATTCAAGACTTCATCAATTAAATCCATTCTTGTCCAACCCTCACATGATATTATTGGACTTTAGATGGGCAATCAACTCCTCAATTAAAAATGAACATTGATATTAAAGCATAGCCAAATGGAGTTGGATTTAGTGAAAGGAGTTAATCCTTTATAATATGATGAACTAAGATTCAATCCTTGTTGGGCGAGATGCAAATATTTAGTGGCCAATTGTGTCTTGAATATAATTGTTTTCAATAAAAAAATATACTTGTAAGAAATAAAAAAAAAGGCAATTCACTAGTGATTCGTTGGATCAACAACAAATTTGTAAGCTAGGAATATGAACAATTGCAACCTATTCATCAATCATAAGCCATAGGAAGAGGTTTATCTCCCCCACAATCTTTACCAATTCCAACACCAAATATCCTCTTAATTGGGACCTTGCTGCTTCTAAGACCTTGTTTTTAAATGTATTCATTTTAATTTCAAATAATAATCATTCCTCTATTAGTAGATCTAGAAAATGGGCAAGTTTAATCCTTATAAGCTCATACCCTCATAATTAATCAATTTTTCAAGCTTAGTTCCTATTGATCAAGCTTTGGCTTAGCCCAAAGGCTCCTCAAAAGCCTTTTTATAAAAATATCTCAATTTTTAAAGCTCAAATCCAAAAAACTGATTTAAACATAAATCCTACTAAGCTTAGCCTATATTTTTGACTCTATCCAGTAATCTTAGTTAAAAATATGTGGATTTTTTAGATATAATGTTAAAAAATATAAGGTATTTTAGGTTTTTCAAGATGCAATTAATGATAATTTTCTTAAAATACATTTAATTAAGGGTGCAATTAATAATATTTTTTTGATTTTAGACACATTATTAAATAAGAGTAAATAATGTAATTTTAAGATAATTAACTAACTTATTAATGGATATAATTTTATTAAAAGTGTTTTATAATATGAAAAGAGGGGGAGAATTATTTTTAAAAGATGGCGGCATGTAATCTTTTGAATTTGGCTTTCTCCTCTGCACCATCATAAAGAGGTTTGGATGGTTCATAATTAATTTTTTTATTTTATATTTATTAAAATAAAAAATTATAAAAAATTTAATAAATTTATTAGATTACTAATTTGGATAATTTAAATTTAGCGTGAATGATTCGAATTTAATACTACATTGTTCAAAATATATTTAGATAATTAATTTATAAAACATTATACATATTTGAATTATCCAAATTAGTAATCTAATAAATTTAATAAAATTTTTATAATTTTTTATTTTAATAAATATAAAATTAAAAAAATTTAAATATGGATTTGCACTATGTGGATCTTTTCATGGTGGAGATAGTGGAGGCCTGGAGGGCATCTCATAAGAGGGAAGCCGACTCTTAATCTTTCCTTTGGATCTAATTTCATTGCTTATATATATATATATATATATATATATATTTATAAAACTAAGACCCTGGATTTCCTGGATTGCCCTCCGAAAGTCAGATAATTTCTGCTAACTCCAACTGCTACGTTAACTTCCTCTCCATGAAAGGGAGAGTCTCTGTCTCTCTACTTCTGACGATGCATTCCAAATCCAAAAAATCTTCCTACAATTTTCTAGGGTTTGGCACTACTCTCCGCCTGGATCCCTTTGACTTTGACGCACAATCAACTATAGTTTCTTTAAATTTTTTTGCCTAGGGTTTCCCTTACTGAAGCAATTTCGACTTCATAACTTCTTGGTCTTGAAGGCTTGTTCTCTTTTGTCTCAACTGGCAGTTCTCGTGTTGAAGAATTTTGTTAATTTTTCGAGGCATTGAGGGCTGTGATTTGTCGAGTGATTGTTTGGATTTGGACTTCTCTTTGGGGCTGGGGATGGATTACGGTTTTCTCTGGATGTTTTCTGCTATATAGGAATATTGGATTTTTTTTCCCGGATTTTGGGGGGGGGGGTGTGAATTTTTGAATATTTTGTTGCCCGACACGTTATAGATTTTGGAGTCTATTGTTGTCGATATTGATGGCTACTGCGGTTGAAGAGGACATTGAGTATGAGAGTGATCCTGAAGAGTCCAAGAGATCATTGGCAATGCGGAGGCGGGAAGCGAGTGATGATGAGGAGGGTGAAGGAGAAGAGCGGGATGAAAGGGTCGATCGTCTGGTTGGGACTTGTTCAGAAGACTCTGATGACAAGGGTGGAGCAGCAGAGTATGATGACGAAGAAGAATTGTATGGAGCGGAGGAAGAAGAGGTGTATGAAGAGGAAGAGGAAGAGGTTGAGGAAGGTGATAGAATTCAAGAAGAGGATCTGTACGACGAGAGGGATGGGGAAGGAGGCATACATGGCGGCAAGTATTGAGGCTTCGGAGCTTATTTCAAAGGAATCTGAAGCTGCCTTTAGAACGCCATTGGAAGCAGAGATGCATCCTGGGAATAAGGATAGCGAAGAGAAGAAGGAGAATGAGCCGTTTGCGGTGCCCACAGGTGGAGCATTTTACATGCACGACGACCGATTCAGAGATAATTCTGGTGGACGTCACAGGTATGCTAATGAGCTAGTCTTACAAGGTATCGTTCTTTACGTAGCAACAAACATGCTGTCGAAAGTTGCGCATGTATTAGAGATATTGATGCTATGTTTTCTGGTATTGAGTTTCAGTAATGAAATAATTAATATTATATTGTTATTCCTTTTTATTTAATGATAGGATGGATTGGTTTTTTTGTGATTTTGTTTGAAGCTGGTTTTTTGGCTGCGGATGACAGCAATTCTAGGCTGGCATAATGTATGCTAAGTGCTAAGTGCTAACCCATTCATATGGCATTACTCCATGGTTTCGGTCATTTCCACACCTGCCTTTTCTTCGTAACAAATGGCAAACTAGAAGAGCAGAGATTGCTTTTGACAGTGCTATCAATATGAGTCTTCATTCTTTGGATTGATTTTGAACTCTTAACATTGATGCCTATTAACTTATTAAAGTGAGTTTTGGAAAGTGGGTTAAAAAATTATTTTAATATATTGTAAGTTGAACTTCCATGGAAAGCGTGGCATAAGTTTCTTCAGGAAGTTGAAAGAACATTTTATGAATGAAAAATGATCTGGATGGGTTCAAAACGAAATGTATGACCAAATATGATAAGTGAAGGGTTTTTTTTTTAATTTCTTTTTTAAGAGTCTTCTAGTTTTTGTTGGAAAGGCTGGAAGGTTCTCTTATTAAGCTTTTACTTTGGGTATTGGAATTGAAATCTTCCTAGTTTGATCTGCCAGGCAGGTATGACATACTCACATTAGAGAGGAGAGAATATTGTATTTTTCTTTCCCCTTATAGAACAATTAATTATTACATATTTTGTTCTGGAGGGAGTTGATTTTATTCCACAGCTTTAATTCACCTAGAATTGGTTGTGCTAGAGGTTGTTGTATCTTTTTTATATTATATTTTAGGTTTGTTTAGCTGTGCATAATAGTAAATGGTAAATTATAATTCCTCAAAGCAAGGTTGTCCTTACATCTTGACCCAATCACATTATTTATTGTGATTACTGATGTTACAAGTGTATATAGTACTCAATCTCTTGTCAACTACCGTGTAGTTTACATAAGTTGCTCTTGTTATTCTTAGTGAAGTTTATAGATGTGTTTACTGAGTATGATTTGTAACACTGCATTTTTTGGTTTTCTTCTTTGAAATTTCTGATCCAGAATCATTATATAATGCCAGATATATGAGTGGATTCTATATTGCTGGTTGCCTTTGAGTAACTTTTGAATTTGTACCCATTGATACTTAAGTGTCTTTTAGTTCATGTTAGGTGAGAAGGAGTCACTTTTAATGGAAAGTGAAGAGAAAACAGAGAAGATAGACTTCCATGGAAGCTTTTTTTATAGTTCCAAAAATGTTTGATGGGCTCAAAAAGGATTTATCTTTTTGGAAAAGGAGTTTTATTATTTGGTATATTGGTAAAGGCTGGAAAGGAAGAATAATATGATAAAATTACACGTTTATCCCTCAATTCTTTTTTGAAAGAAAAATCTGCGCAGCAATTGAATTGGAAAGGAAGAAAAAAATAGGGCTTGATCAATGTCATTGCAGCTAGTTGCTGGCAGCTTCATCTCACCATGCAAAGTGAACAACAGCTCACAAGGGGTTCAATGACATGCAGAAAGCGGGTGTCAATAGTTGCATCATCTCAGTGGCTCACAAAAGGGGTTCACTGGTGGCTTTATAGGAACCTGATATAATTAGGGGCTGTTGAATGCGTTGAGATGGAAAAGCTTTATGTGCTCAGCCTAAATCCTAGTGCAATTTTAACTTTTTGCTAGTGACCTTCTAATATCTCCATTATCAAGCTTCTGCAACTATTTTTACTAAGCAAATTTATGCATATTTGGATATACATTGGAAAGCTCTAGAACATTTCATTAGGCCAAAATTGGTTTTTCTTACAAAATAAATTTTAAACTGCAACACTTTAGAATAATAGCTCAAATATGTAACTGATTCTCCCAAAACCAATCATCCCAACAAATATTCTTGGAAATCTAGAAACTTACATAAATCCCAATCAAATAGTTGACCATTCAGAAATTGATGCATAGCCTTGAATGTTCCAGTAAAAGAAGAGAAAACAACCCATCAAGCACACTATGCATTGTTTGAGAAATACATTATATCTGCATTGATAGATTAGGGAACCAGTTGGCATAGCAACAATTGAATGAAAAATTGAAAGTCCAATGGCAACAATTCATGGAGATGTTAACAAATGAAAGAAGATAAAGATGAAACAGATGATGAGAGGGGCATATCTCATTTGTGGCAGTGGCGATGTCTGTGTTGGTGAGGAGAGATGATAATGGTGTCGAAGTCTTGAAGAAGGGTTGGTTTGAGGTTTCAACTTGAGGCAAATTTGTCAGTATTTTTCACACTAAGAACAAAATAGACACCAATTTTGGGTTCCATGGGACCAAGACTCTTTCCATCTTCCTAGTGAATAAAGTTTGGTTCCACCATATGAGGGAGTCGACAGTTACCTAGGATGGCTTCATATGAAGGACACAGAAGTTGCCTATGAAGGCGTCATATGAAGGAAGCAGCAGTTTCCTAGGAAGGCTTTCTCTTGCACACTCAACGTGCAATTGAAAGCTTTATCTCTCATTCTCCCCTAGGCTCCTCTTTTGTGTACCAAGCATGGCCTTAGGGCCGTTTGTGGATCACAGTCTTGCTAAATAGGCAATTAATTTCTTTTAATATCTTGGAGTTTTGGTATAAGTTAGGTTTTAATGCATCTGACCTTGTCTTTACTTTTAGGCATTTACGGGGTGGAAGGAGACTGTGGGAGTCCAAAGATGACCAAAAGTGGGGACATGATAAGTTTGAGGAAATGACAATGCAGGAAAGGCACTATAATGAGGTGACCATCTTGTAGGCTTGTACACTTACTATACTTGAAATGACTGGTTGGTCAAAATTCCTTTATTTTAAAATGTTCCATTTTCTGAGACTTTTCTCCCTCTCATGCAATACTCAAAAGGGAGGAGAGTTTCCAAGAGAAGTTATGGAGCTCGTAGTAAAGGTCGAGGTCTTGATCATGGGGTGAATGCTCAGGGAAACAGACAAGGAAAGAGCAAACCTGGCAATCAAAGCCAGGTACTCAAGAGTAGTGTGAGATGGAGAGGGCCACAAAGATATGTGCCCACTTTTAAGAGGAATACTGGTCTGCTGCCTCAGATGCAAAATAAACAGTACGTACACTTTGTGTTCTGTTAGATTAGTTGGAGACTTATTTCCTATGTATTTTTGTACTCTGAATTCTGATTTGTGCTTTTCCCAAGACCTGTGAAGGCTTCCCAGAGAAGCTCATATGGTAATTCAGGGAGAACTTCTACACCCACTTCAAATGTAGAATCAGATCCTATGCTGGCTAGAAAACAAGTGGTTGCTTCAAACTTGAATTCTGGCTCTTCCCCTTGTTATCCTTCTGGCTCTTCCAACAGGGACATTATGCCAAAAGGAGATGTTCAAACAGGAAACAGAAGCCGAACTGCTTGCCCTGGTGTTACTGCTGAAGGATTTTCAGTTCAACAAAACAATGCATTACCTCGGGGAAAGAATGCTGTTGAATATATCAGCATGGAGAAGTTGTACATTGATGAGTCCACTACTCCAGCTGTTGGAATGCCTTCGAACAATTTCCATATGCCACCTTCTAGATCTTCTGGAGTTAATGCTTCTCAATCTTCTCAACCAAGGGCTTCAGGGAGGACTGTGGCAATACCTGTACAGATGAATTATGAGCCTTCTTCCACTCATATCCAAGCAAGTAAAGTTCTTCAAACACAACTCCAGGCTACTCATAGAAGTTCTGTACCAGGGCAAACTCAAACTTCTGTGCTTGCTCCTGTACCACAGTTGGGCCAAAGTTTAGGTAGTGGATTTCGAGCTTCCTCTCCTCCCAAAACATCTCTGGCAACAACTTCATTTGATTCTGGAGAAATAGATGCAGCATCAGATTTGGGGAAATTCAAAGAGTCTTTGGTTGGTAAGGCAAAGGGAGGTTCTCGGGGTAGTGGAAGGGGCTCTCTTCTTTATGGTGGAGCGCATGTTATGGGGACTTCTGGAAATATGGGTGTGAGTCATGGTGATCAGAACTTTCCTGCCACCCCAGCCTTCTTGCCAGGTTTTATTAATTGTCCTTTTTGTGGGTTCATGTATTAGCATATATTTGCGTATCACATTTCATGTTGTTGAAAACTGAAGTTGAAATTTTACCATAACTGTGCTAACTTGTGAAAAGTTATTTGTTGTTACAGATAAATAGTTTGATGCTGTAAAGGTTATGATTTATCAATTAATCATGTGATCATATATTCTTTAGGGAGATACTTTATAATATATCATGTACCTCTGTTTTCCTTTAATGTGTTTGTAGATCTTTTAGAACAGGTTGAGGGGTTATTTATGTCTCTGTTTTCTTTTCATTTACAAAACTAGATAGGCCCTGTGCTTTGCACAGAGTCTGTGGAGAGACACATTATACATTGCTTATGAATAATACAGCTTTCAATAGATTTTATATGATATATTGATATTGATGATTTCATTTCTGTTTACTAATGAGTTTTTTTATTCTTTGTGGGGATCTGGTGGAACACAGTCATGCGATTTGGTGGGCAGCATCCTGGTGGTATTGGAGTTCCTGCTGTTGGCATGGCATTCCCTGGATATGTAGCTCAACCTCAACTTGGTTTGGGAAACTCTGAAATGACATGGTACAGATATATAGAAATCCTTTATCTTTAATATGTACCTTATTTCTATTTTTGTGTTTTTTATTGAATTATGTGTGGGTGGTTGGGTTTAAATAAACCGAGTTTAGGTTGATGATCTGCAGTGAGTTCGTTATCCAGCCTCTTTTTAATTTTACTTGTTATTCAAAAGTTTTTTAATCATTGTAAAAATTTCTCCTTGGCTCAGTGTTTAGCTGTTTCTTCTTCTTTTGGTTTAGGCTGCCTGTATTGGCTGGTGCTGCGGGAGCTTTAGGGGCTTCATATGGTTCACCCTACCATGCTGTTGACAGTGCTTATAATGCACGACAATCAGGACAGACCCCTGCAGTGGCTACATCGAGGTTTGTAGTATCTGCCATTATTTTATTTGCAAACGAGTTACCATGCTTCTCCTTTCAGTCCTGTGTTGCTAGTTGCTTGAGGCCAATAATCTTTACTTTTATCTAAAACTGTTTCAACTCGCAATTTTGTTTTTTGGTGTTATTATAGTTCTATGGTATGATATAATATTGTGGTCCAATTTCTTTGCCTGCATTGTTCAGCCAAGAATGGTGGTGTGGTTTGCATAACATTTTTGGTCCATGTTATTTTATTTATCAACGAATGCGCTTTACATTTTTTTGCCCCTTTTAAAATCAGGGCTTGCATATGTTTATCCCCACCCTATGTCTAATTTGTGGAATTTTTGCATGCACGGTACTCAGAAATCAGTGCTTTTATGAAATAGTTTTTGTTACACTTTTCTTGCCTTATTTGTTTTCATCTTGTTATGCCTAATTGCTGATTTCTTGATTCTTCTTTGTATTCCTGAATATTTACAGCAAGCAAATTAATGCAAATAACACTAATAACGAGTGGAAGCCACCACAGCAAACTGGTGAGGCATTGTATTCATGTTCTTTAATATTGTTTACAACAAATCTTGTCATTGTTTTGTAATGTGTTATTATTTGGACTTGTTTTGTCAGCAGATCCTGTAAGTGATGACTTGGGACAAAGGCAGAATAAGCCTCGCAGGCAAGTTGGATTGCTAAAATATTATAATTTTTTGAAATTATTATTCATTTTTGTGAATGCAATGCTTCTATTCTTAAACTGCTTTTTACTTGTTTTCTATGGGTGTCAGGGAATTGGTTGACTACTGAGCTAGATTTTAAGTACAGGCGTAATTTTATTGAATTGTTGCTCTTAACGCAGATATTCAGAAATGAATTTTGGCCAGTGAAGTAATTTATATAGGATGCAGCTTATTTGAATAAGCGGACAAAGGTTTAGTTTTTTTCGAAGGTTTTCTAAAGCAAAGCTGTATCTTCTTAATTCTTGTGCAGTTGCAATTTTCTAAGTGGTTTATTTTGTAATGCAGGCCTTCGATCAGGACCTTTGTTTTCCGGCTTTTGCTCTGGAGCACTCTGGGCTGCCAAAGAATAGAAGAATTTCTAGGTAATTAAATCAAATTGATTATATCTTTATGTTTGAATGGTTGAATTAATTTTATTGGGTTCATTAATCATCATCTCTCTTGCTCATTTTCTACTTCTTTACAGTTAGACAACGCCTCCTCTTGTTGAAGACTGAAGTCATGTAGGGGCTTGGGTATTGTAGCTTGGCGGATGGAGCTTTCTTGTTTAGTTGTGAGGTAAGAAGGCTCAGCTGCTATCTTAAAATTGACAATTAGTGAGGAATTAATGACACGTGTTGGCTTCTTTCTAGGTTTCATGTGATTTGTTTTTAGTGGTGAGGCTTGTGTGAAACATGGGCTGGCTTATCTAGAACGATGGATATGGTGCAGTAGCTGATTGCTTCGTGGATGAAATGTTCCCATGTATAGATGGTTTTCTTATTAACCAAGCGTGACCTTGTGGAGGAATTATATAGCCTTCCGAAATAATCATGACTAGTGTCTTGTTTTTTTCTTATTTCATTTTCCCTTTTGATTGAGTGGACTCTAATTCACCATGATTGCTCATGGTTTTGACTTGGGAGAGACACTTGGTGGTTTGTGTTCATTACAAATCTCCTAAAATACTTGTACAAATGAAATGTTGACTGCTTTAATGAGATCAAGTCACAGAAGCGCATTTCAGGCGTATATAGACTAAAATAGAAGCTAAATCAATATGAATGACGAGGAATTACATTGCAAGTTGTGCTATTTATTTTTCGTGCTCTATATGCCAGTGGAAATGCATCTAGTTTACCGACTAAGTAAATATTCAATCGGAAAAGTAAGTTTTGATAATAGATAGATTAATTTCACTTGAATATCTATGCTAAGATGAGTTTATCAGTGTATTATCAACTAAAATTTGGCAGTAAAATAATCGCTTTTTTTATATCTCTCTACTTCGAAGTTAACTAATCATCAATGCGGTACCAATTTCTGAGTGGTTGAAGCCCTAGAAAACATAATTTTATTTTTTCAAAAAAGAAAGAATGATTGTTTCAACTTCTGTTGCTTTCGCAATGGCAATGGCAATCTTTTGTAAGGTGATTCCTAACTTGTTCATTGATGTGAGAATCGACAAAAGCAAAAGAAAGAAATCAAAGAAGCACTAGGAATAAATCAATGTCCATCTCAGAAAGAAAGATCAAGGAAGGAATTCGAATATTAGTTGCTTCAATTTTTTCTCTTCAAAATTAAATAAAAGGAATTATCATGATCATTCATTTCCAGTCCTATATATAAATTGCATCGACTGTCATGCCAACCCATGGATATTGCAGTCTCTTGTAATCAAGAGGTAGAGGGTCTTTCATTTTGGAATGAATAAATAAAGAAACACACACACACACTGACATATATTTATGAGAAAGCTCTAACTTAGCCATTTTGGGTTGTGATTTTGGATGAATGCAAGCTAGAGGCATCGTTTGGAAGATCAGAAGTGAGAGGAAGATATGGAAAAACTGGGAGGTATCATATGGGACACAACAAAGTATTTGTTTGGGCGCCCCAAACAAGAAGCTCATCTCATTTGGGATTTGGAAGAGAATCTGCAGTCTCTGGAAGCTAAATGGGAGAGGCTTCAAGCCATGAAGATGGACGTGGAAGCACAGATTGAAGTAGATGAGAACACCAGTGAGATGCAAAGGACGCATCAAGTCACTGATTGGCTCAAAAGCGTCCAACACATTCAAGAGGTAATTACGTGATTGGTTTTCTTCATCACGACTTAGATAATTACCAAATTAAACCTCAATGATGTACTATGTTAAGTAATTCGTGTTATACATGCTTAGCTCAATAGTTTCTCATAAAATAATTTAAACTTGTCAGTAGTAAATCGAAAGTGATTTAGACTAAAAAGTGCTGTCCAAACTGAGATGAGTGAAAACCATTAAAATGGCACAATGTTGGCTAAAGGCAAATAGCTAAGTTTACAAGGGAAAGGAGGGGAGGCTCACAACAACAATGAAGGATTCAATTATGGGCTCATTTAGCATAAAAAATAAGTGATTTTATATGTTTTGGAGATTTTGGGCCGTTTAATTCAGCTTTTTATTTTTAAATGAGAAAAATCACTTTTTTTTAAAAAAAATTATTTTTATGAGTTTTTATGATTTTTTTAAAATAATCAAAATCAAGAAAAAATAGATTTCTGATTATTTTAAAAAAATGTGAGAGACTGTTTTAAAAATTTGAAATACATGAAAATATTATAAATTTTTAACATAATTAAATAATAAATTATTCTTATAAAATAGAAATAAAAATATCGTAAAATTAAAAAATAAATAAATAATTTTTTTTTACTAAAACTAAACATAAAATAATTGATTTTTTTTATAAAATCTATAAGTTATTTAAAAATTATTTATTTTTCAATCTTAAACAAATGAGCCCTTCATAAAAATTGATTTATTGTATATCAATTATGTAAAAACATAAATTATTTTATATTTGGTTATAATTGTAAAAAATTGATTTATTATTTAATCATTTTAAAATTAAATAAGGATTTTGTATTTGTTTATTCATAAAATGTAATTTAATATTTACTTATTTTTAAATTTTATGATATTTTCCTTTTTTAAAATTTGTTAACATTTCCTCTCATTTTATGATATTTTTATGATTATCATTTATTTATTTAATATAGCTTTTGATATCTTCATAGATTTTAACTTCATTAAACATGCTTTATTATTTAGTTATTTTAAATTTTTTTGATATATTTGTGTATTGTATTATTTTTAAAAGCCACTTAGAATAGCTTTTTCAAAACAACAAAAAGTTTACATTTTTTTAAATAATGACTATTTTTAAAAGGACAGTAATTTTTTAAAAATTTAAACAAATGGGTCCTAAATACTCCCTTAATTTCCTATTAATTATAGGACATCTTCTTTAAAAAAAATTTGTTTCTTTTTTTATAAGTCATTTTGCAATATGTTAATAGTAATTAAATTTTTTATCCTAACAATACCCTTAAAAAATAAAAAAAAATTACTTCATATAAGTCAAATATATTTAATTATAGTCATATATTGAAAATATCAGAATCTTTTAAGCGCATTCATAACTAACAGTAATTATTTTTTTTATGGTTAAAGTGTACTTTTGGTCATATAACTTATTTGATTTCTTAATTTTATAAAATATTTTTTTAATCATTCAACTTTAATACTGTTAGTTTTAAATAATTATTTTTTATATCAATCATTGTTATTTTAAAAAAAAATAAACATAATATGAAAACATTTGAAAATATTTGTCAATATTTATAGTTTAATATAAAATTTTTTTATGATAAAATTAACGATGTTGGAGTTAAAAGATTGAAAATATATTTTATAAAATTAAAAGACTAGAATAGAATATTTTATAAAGTTAAAGATTAAAAATATACTTTACCTCTTCTTAATTTATGTGAGATAGTCAAATATGACTTATAAATAAATAATGAAGAGTGTATGATGGGCCCACAGTTAGATTATATACGCTGCTAATGATGCTACGATATGCATGATCTTATCTTGCATATCAAAACTTGATATGAAAATGTGCTTAATTATTAGTATGAGCAAGGTTCAGGAAAAATGGTGTAAAAGAAACATGGAAACTAATTAACAATTATATTCACACAGGAAATAAAAGTTGTTCAAGTTAAAGGAGCTCAGGAAATCCAAAACAAACGCCTAAGTAAATGCTGTCCCAAGAATTGCATGTCAAGCCACAAGTTAGGAAAGGATGTTGTCAAGATGCTCACTGAAGTGGATGTCATAACAACTAGGGGACAAAAGTTCGGTAAGGATTTACCAATTACTCACGAGCGACGAATACCAACTAATCAAATACCTTTTGGTGAGACCGTGGGATTAGATTTGATATTTAACAAGGATGGGATAATATTGAAGAAGATAAGGTTGGTGTCATTGGTTTATATGGAACAGGAGGAGTGGGAAAGACCACCTTATTGAAAAAAATTAACAATGAACTTGGGAAGAGAAGGCCGGATTATTTTGTGATTTGGGTGGTGGTATCCAAAGAGCCTAACTTGGATAGAATTATGGACAATATAAGAAACTCAGTAGGGATTGGCAAAAGCTCTTGGATTTTTTGCAATAATCAAGAAGAAAAATGTGCAAAGATCTGGGGTGTCTGGAAACAGAAAAAATTTGTTCTATTGTTGGATGATGTATGGGAGCAATTGGACTTAAATGTGGTAGGGGTACCACATCCAAAAGATGCTAACTTTGAGTCCAAAGTGTTGTTCACAACACGATTGAAGGATGTGTGTGCAAAAATGCAAGCTCAAATATCATTCAAGGTAGAATGTTTAAATGAAATGGATGCATTAAAGTTATTTCAAATGAAAGTTGGCGAGGAAACTTTAAACTCACACCCTCGGATCAAAGACCTAGCAAAAAAGATGGCTAAAGAGTGTAAAGGGTTGCCTCTTGCTTTAATTGTGGTAGGAAGTGCCATGGCTGGTGTGAATAGCGTTAAAGCATGGGAATGCACAAAAAATAACTTAACAAGTTCTTCATGGACTACTCCAAATTTGGAGATGAAGGTGTTTTCTATCCTTAAATTGAGCTATGATCAATTCCAGATGATGGTCACAGAAAGTGTTTCTTGTATTGTGCATTATATCCAGAAGATTATGAGATTCTAGTCACTGATATCATTGATAAATGAATAGGGGAGGGATTTCTATGTGCAAATAAGACAAAAAGCATTGGGGACATTCGCGCTGATGGCAAGTCTGTGATTGGAAAGTTAAAATTTTGCTGCTTGTTGGAGAGTGTTGAAGATGACATTGTTATGAGGCGTTCAGTAAAGATGCATGATATCATCCGAGGGATGGCACTATGGTTAGCATGTGCTCAAGATAAGAAAATGAAGAAGGTTCTAGTACAAGGAGATGCAGTGGCAATGTCCCGTGATGATGATGTTGACCAATGGAAAATTGTTGAGATGATTTCAATCATGGGGGCTGGTGAAGAATGGTCTGTACCATCCGAGTGTCCCAATCTCATAACATTTTTGGTCAGGGGATGCAAGATAAATGGATTGCAGAATATCAAATACATGAGCCAATTAAAGTGCTTGGAATTGAATGTTTGGGAGATAGATGATCCTATAGGAATTTCTGATTTGGTTCTTTTAGAATACCTTTCTTTGACTTTATATGGACCCAAGGTTCCCAAGGAGCTGAAGAACTTGAAAAATTTAAAACTACTTACTTTGTCCATGACAGGAGCTAGCATTGCAAGTATTCCATTGGAAGTGATCTCAAGTCTTCAACAATTAAGAGTCTTGAAAGTTTTTTGTTTTGATGGTGTTGAAGGAGATGGCAAAGAAGAGGGAGAATTCCTAAAGGAGGTGGAATCCCTACCAAAAATTGAGGAACTAAATGTTGACATATGTACAAATAATGGCCTCTCTAAACTTGTTGGCTCAACCAAACTGCAAGGTTGCCTATCTGTTCTTCGTCTTTAGGGATCTAGACACCCTCATTAAGATGCCTTTATTATTGGCATGCATGTCAAAAATGAAGCACCTACGACAATTTGGTATGTTCGGCTTGGGCAAATTGGAAGATTCTTCACTACATGACGTATGTCGTCTTACCATGCTTTGAAGTGTGTCCATTGCAAGGTGCGATTCAATAATGCATGCGACATGGCTCAAGCATGCTCCACTCCTTCAAACACTTTACATTGCGGGTTGCTCTTTAATGGAACAAGTGATCAAGGAAGAAGCAACAAAGGATGATCAGAATGTGGATTCTCCTGTATTCTCTTCTCTTGTAGAATTGTATTTATTTGAATTGCCAAAGCTTAAGAGCATCCATAGCACACCCTTATCTTTGCCTTCCCTGAAATCCATCTTAGTAGTTGATTGTCCAATCCTAAAAGAGCTACCTCTTGGTTCCAGCTCTGCCAAGTATGAGTCGATGAGAATTCCAGGAAAACAAGACTGGTGGAACAACTTGGAGTGGGATCATGACCCAGCTGCTAAGCACAAATTCCAATCCAAATTTCAAAACCTAGCGGTTGATTCAACAACACCTAGAGGTAAATGCATTCTAATGTTGCGATTTAATTTGTCTTTTTGCTCTCATATGATTGGCTTGTCTTTTTCCATGTAATTATTATCTGGATTAACAATTTTCACTTCTCAATTTGGTCATTTTCATGATGCAATTTAATTTTTTCCCCCTTACCGCGAATTAAAAAAATAGCGTATTATTTTTTTGAAAAAGAAAAGGTTAGCTTAGATATATACTCTATTTACTAAATGGCTTTGTCTTTTCGATCATATATGATGAAATTGTAATTTGCAGTGCCACAAATAATGTTTGGGTATTATTATGATGTCTCTTTTAACATTCATACAATTGTTTTGTAGCTAATTGGCTTTCTTTCCACTTTGCAGATTTTGCGATCGAAATGGGTGCAGACTTCTTTCGCCCTGCAGGATTGGATTTCTTTTCTTATTATAGTTTTTTATTAATAAATCAACTACAAGAAAGTTAAGCGGGGAAAAGAAAATTTCCTATATTACTATAGCTTCTTGCAGTTGATTTGATGTTTGAAAACTTTGGTTTGAATTTTAACTTATGCTCAAAATTAACAAGGGACCAAATATGGTATGTGTATTATTATATATTATTTTAATGTTAAACCTCTAAGGTAAAGCTTCACTAGAAGTTGCCGGCATCTTTCAATTGGGCTTTCCAAATTTGATAGTAGAAACTTAGGGCTTGTTTGGTTTTATTTTCATTGCTTGTTTATAAAAACTATTTTATAAACTCATATTTAATTTTTTTTCCAAAACAAAACAAATTAAAAATTTGTTTGATTATTTTAATTTAAAAATAATTTTAGAGTTAAAAAAAATGCCGTATAATAGTGGTTGGCTATAGGTGAAAGTAACTTACAATAATCAAATGTAACATGTTTTAAAAATAATTTTTTTAAAAAAAGAAAACAGTTATAAGATGTTTTCATTTTTTTAAAAACAAAAATAAAGATAATTTTGAAAAAATTTATTTTTTAAAAAATATTTAAATTCAAAACACTTATCCAAATCAACTTTCTGTAAGCAAAATATTTTTTAAATATAAAAATCAAACAAACCCTTAATTTCACTCATTCAATCATAATTGTTTAGAATGTCCACTATAAATCATGGGCAACAGTTTTAAGTTTAGAGTCCTTTCTAACTAGTCTCATAAAATTTTTTATATGAATCTACTAAAAATTAACAATCTTAGTTATGCGATATATGAATTTATGAATTCATATTTGAAACTTGAGTGAAGTTGCACAAGTCAAGGTCTTGTATATATACTTGTACCCTAACATTTCAACATCACAAATGATAGGAAGTCTTCAAATGGATATGCTTACGTGGGCCGACTTCTCCTCCTCCAGGTTTCAATTTCATGTCTCTTGTTTGCAAACTCAGCTTTGGCTTATATTTAATTAATAAAATTTGGATTGATTGCTATAAACTTTTAAAAATTTAAGAGTATAACCAATTAATATTGATATACAAAAAATTCATCATTGCTATATAACGAATTTATTATTAAAAATTTAAAAATTTACAATAATTTTATAATTGATATGAAACAATATATCATTAATAAATATAATAAATCGATCATAATGTAAAATATGATAAATATTAGACTATTTATTTGATTTAGTCTAATAATATGAGTTATATCTGTAAAAAAATTTTAATTATATTATGTGGTATAATTGATTTATGAAATTGATTGCAGCAAAATCAAAAAGTAGAATTGAAAACTTAAGAATATGTTTGGATAAGCTCTCAGAATTGATTAAATATACCAAAATCATGGTTTCACTAAAAAAACACCAAAACACTCACATTTTTACATGATCAATTATATTAATTCAAATCATGTTTTGGCTTAAGGTGCAATGAATAGCTTTCAAGTATTGATTATACGTTTTGGCCACCAAAAAAAAAAAAAGTATTGATTATATGTATTGAAGTGGACCAATCTGTCATAATTTTTAATCTACCAATAAGACTCTTGAGTGCTACACTTGAATGTCCCTGTCCACGACTTCTTTTCTCTCCATGACTGCTCTCTCTCTCTCTTTTTTTTTTTTTTTAAGATTACAATGAAAATAGATAACAAAAAAATTACAAGAGAGAGTGGAAAAGATCATCTTCTAACGTCAAACGAAAGTGCTCTATCACTTCTTTTATCTATACATAGTCTGTTTACCCACACACATGAGTGTATATATATATATATATATATATAGTTTATTTTCAAAACATTTCCGAGACCATTAATTATTCTAAAACTGAATATTAATAGTTATATTTGTTCCTTTTATTAAAATTATTTAAACTTGATATATTTTTTTATTTTTATTTACATTAAAATATTAATGTCACAATATAATATAATTTAAATTTTTATAATTAATCAGAATATATATATATATATATATTAAAACAGCTATCATTGATTGTAATTTACATATCTAAAATTAATTTTTACTAAAATCATCCAAATATTTTAGATTTTATATCCATAATTTAATTTAACTTGAAATGGACAAATTACACAAGATGAAAGAATAACATTTTTATAAATACACAACACAATGTCCATAAAATATCAATACAATGTCATATAATGTACAATTGGTCTAATGAAAATAGTTTAACTTGAAATATATTGGTTGCGCAAGATAAAAGAACAACAGAATATTCATGAATACATAACATAATGTCTATAAATTCTCAATATAATGTCCTATAATTGATTGGCCACATCACTTGGATAGGATTATGGATAATATAAGATGATCTTTAGGGATTGGTGACATCTCTTGGATTTCTTGTAATAATCAAGAAGAAAAATCTGCAAAGATTTGAGGTGTCTTGAAACAGGGAAGATCTATTCTCATGAGGGAGAGATTGGACTTGAACTTGGTAGGGGTATTGCATCCAAAGGATGCTAACTTCAAGTCCAAAGTGTTATTCACAACACGATTAAAGGATGTGGGTGCAAAAATACAAGCTCAAATATCATTCAACATAGACTTTTTAAAGGAAAAAGAATCATTAGAGTTATTTAAATATAATCGCTAATAATAGAAAGTCTTCAAACATGCTTACGTGGGCTGACTTCTCCTCCTTGAGGTTTCAGTTTCATGTCTCTTGCTTGAAAAGTTCGCTTTAGCTTTCAATGGAAAAAGTGATCAAGGAAGAAGCAACACAAGATGATCAGAACGTGGATTCCCCTGTATCCTCTTCTTTTGTAGACTTGTCTCTGTGGGACTTGCCAAAGCTTGAGAGCATTCATAAGACACCCTGTGTCTTTGCCTTCCCTGAAGCCCATCTTAATATCTGATTGTCCAATCTAAAAGAGTTACCGCTTGGTTCTAACTCTGCCAAATATGAGTCCATGAGAATATTCAAGGAGAACAAGACTGGTGGAACAATTTGGAGTGGGATGACCCAGCTGCTAAGCACAAATTCCAAAAAGTTTTATAGCTCACTGGTTGATGCAATAAATGAAGATACATACATTCTAATGTTGAGATTTAATTAATCGTTTTGCTCTCATATGATCGGCTTGCCTTTTTCCATGTAATTACTATCTGGGTTAATGATTTTCACCGTTCAATTTGATCATTTTCATGATGCAATTTATATTTTTCCCTTTACGGCGACATTAAAAAAATAGCACAATTTTTTTAAAAAAAAAAACAAGTTTACCCGCCTATATACTCTATTTACTAAAATGGCTGTCTTTTGGATCATATACGAGGAAATTGAAATTTGCTATACCACAAATGTTTGGGTATTATTACTGCTTCTCTTTTAACTTTCACACAATTATTTTGCACCTAATTGCGTTTCTTTCCACTCGCAGATTTTATTGTCGGATGACAGCAGACGTCTTCTGTTATGCAGTAGTGAATTTCTTACCTGGGAGTTTAATGTTTGAAAACATTGGTTTGGATTTTAGCTTCTGATCAAAATAAAAGACAAAATATGGCATGCGGACTATTACTATTTTAATTGTGGGATCTTTTAGGCTTTCCTATTTGTGTAGATTAACTTTGATTAATTCTGAAACTCAAAGGTAAAGCTTCATTAGAAGTTGCCTACTCGCTTCTTTGGGCTTCCCAAATTTCATTGTCCAAATTTAGGGCTTGTTTGGGTTATATTTTCAATTTTTTTGTTTTTAATAACCAAAAAAAAGGAAAAAAACTTATTTCGAGGAGTGTTTTAAATCCAATTGTTTTTTTTATATTGCTTTCATTTTTTTAAAAAACAAAAAAAATAAAAACATGTTAAAGTTGCTTTCATTTCATTTTTTTATTTTTAAAATACATTATATTAGATTATTAAAAACTACAGTTACCTTGATTAATAATAAGCATAATCCGTCACCATTAATCTTCATTGACAATTATTATTGATCAATTTTTTAATTCTAAAACTAATCTTAAATTAACACAACCAAATAGATTTTTCTTTTGTTTTGTTTTGAAAAGTAATTTTAGAAACTATGCACAAAAGAGTTTTTTAAAATAAAAATAAGAATAGAAACTAAACAGGCCATTAATCTCACTCATCAATTCATACTTGTCTAGAATGTTTGCTATAAATCATGTTAGCATTGGATAGGGACTTCTAAGTTTAGGGTCCTCTATCTCTATAATTTTCTTTCAGCTAGTCTCATAAGATTTTTCACAAATCTACTGAAAATTAATAATCCAAGTTACACATTATATGATTTTAGGAAGTCATATATATTTGAAGCTTTTGATTAAAGTTGCACAAGTCAAGGTCTTGTAGATGTATTTTTACCTTAACATTTCAATATAATCACAAATAATAGAGGGCCTTTAAAATGTATAGGCTGACGTCTCCTACTTGAGGCTTCATGTCTCTTGTATGAAAATTCCAGTTTGTATTTTAGCTTTTTGTTCAATATTACATGGCATGTGTTATTATTGGACCTTCTTGGCTTTCCTATTGGCGTGAACTTGGACTAACAGTTTCACTCTTCTCCGCGATAGAACAGAGCTCTGGTCTCTCTGGTTGGTTCCGTGTTGTGTTTTTTTCTTGATGTTGATGGTTACAAGACTTTACTATTGAACGTCAATTTAATAACTTCAACACTTGCAATTAGATTCAGTGCTTTTGATCTTGAAATTGCATTTTTTTTTCCAGTGAACAAGAGGGCCAGAAATAGGATGTTCCCACAAAAATGTAAGGGTAAGATATCGGTAGAATGTAAGGTAAAGTTGTCAACCTCCATGGGACAACCTCACTGAATGTAGTCCCCACTCTTCATTGAACTTTATGAAATATAATCTTATACTCATCAAATTTTACTGAAAAATTCTAAGGTAAGGTATTTGTATATAAAGTTGAGCAATTTTAAGGTCAAACTGAGTTAAACAAGCCAAAATTTTGCTTATTTACATAAACAGCCCAAGCATGAGATCATGAGCCTACTTCCAACTCCAAGTGTACATGAATTAATGCTTCTCAATCTTTAATACCTACCATATTTATTATTATTATTTTGTGTTATTTTTGTTGAATTCTCTGTGTGGGGGTCCAAAAAACTGAGTTTAAGTGAATGATCTCTACAATGAATTCCTGATCCAGCCCTCTTGTTTAATATAACCATGGTAAAAACTAAAAACTTCTCCTTGGCTCAGAGTATTTAGCTATTTTTTCTTCTTTTGGTATTAGGTACTTCGAGGTTTGTAGTTTTCTGTCCTTATTTTATTTGCAAATGAATTACCATGCATCCCTCACCTTTCAGTTCTGTTTTGCTAATTGCTTAAGGCAAGTTTGTTTTTTGGTTGTATTGTGATTCTATGTGTTAAGAATGAGGAATGACTGCCTGAAAATGGGCAAAAGAAGTAAAAGGATACAATAATATCTCAACTCAAAATTTACAGCCTCAAATTTATGAATCCTTATATTTTATTATATATTAATTATTAAATTCAACTTTATCTTATTTGAGACTTCCCATATTAACACAAGTCCACTTGGACATCCTTATGGTCCAATTTCTTTGCCTGCATTGTTCTGCCAAGAATGGTGGTGTGTTCACACAAGATATTTGGTCCATGGTATTTTATTTAACAACAGATTCGCGCGCTCCTAACATTTGTTTCCCTAAAACCAGGGCTTTCATATATTGATCCCCACCTTGTGTCTTATACTCTTATTTATGGAATTGATGCATGCACAATACTCATCAGTCAATGCTTCCATGAAATAGTTTTTGCTACACTTTTCTTGCTTTCTTTGTTTTCATCTTGGGGTGCCTAATTGCTGATTTTTTTATTCTTCTTTTTATTTCTAAATATTTACAGCAAGGAAATTAATGCAAATAAAACTAATAACGAGTGGAAGCCACCACAGCAAATAGGTGAGAAATTATATTCATGTTCCTGAATATTGTTTACAACAAATCTTGTCCTTGTTTTATGATGTGTTATTACTTGGACTTGTTTTGTTAGAAGATCCTGTAACTGATGACTCAAGATCGTGGAAAAATAAGCCATGCATATAAGTTGAATTGCTAAAATATTATATTTTTTTATGATTATTACTCATTTTTGTGAATATATAGTATATGTAATGCTTCTATTCTTAAACTCCTTTTTTCTTGTTTGTCTAGGAGTGCTTGGGAAGGCATATTGCATTGGTTAATTACTGAGCTACATTTTAATTACAGGCATAATTTTATTGAATTACTGCTCTTTAATGCTCATGCAGATATTCAAAGATGAATTTTGGCAAGTGAAGTAATTTATATAGGATGTAGCTTCTTTGAATAAGTAGACAAAGGTTTAGTTTTTTTCAAAAACTTTCTAAAACGAAGCTACATCTTCTAATTAATTCTTATGTAGTAGCAATTTTCTGATTGATTTATTTTGTGAGAGGGCCTGATCTCCAACTTTTGCTGTGGGGCGCTCTAGGTTGCCAAAGAATTCAAGATTTTCTAGGTAATTAAATCAAATAATTAATTATATCTTTATGTTTAAATGATTGAATCTATTTTATATTAGGTTCATCATCTCCCTTGCTCATTTTCTAATCCTTTACTACAATTAAACAATGCCTGGTCTTACTGAAGAGTGACGCCATGTTGGGGCTAGAGAATTGAAGCTTGACGGATGGCACTTGCTTGTTTAGTTGTGAGGTAAGAAGGCTTAGTGGCATGATTGATTGTTCTTATCAATTACTAATCATTGATTACCTTGTTTTTTCTCATTTCATTTTCGTTTTCAACTGAGTAGACTCAAGTCCACCATATCACTCATAGTTTTGACTTGGGAGACAAACTTGGTATTGGGTTCATAACAAATCTCCTAAAATACTTGTAAATGAAATGTTGGCTGATTTTAATGAGATTAACAAGGGACAAAAGTAAAGCCGATAATTCAAAATCATGCACCATTGATGACAAAAAAAATGTGGATAAAACTAATGTAAATATAAATATTTAAAATTTTAAACAATGATAATAACATTTTTTTTTATTAATGTCTCAGTCAAAAAATATAAAAAATTTATTCTAAATAGTTATATAATATAATATTTTTGTTCAATAACATTTTTTAATTAAATGATATTTTAATCCTCATGAAAAAATAGCATAATTAACAATAGGAGGTTTTAAAAAACAAAATTAAAGGTTAAGGGGGTCAATTTTGAGCTTTTAAAGATGAAAAAATTTATATGCAACTGTTTTAAAGTTCAAAAATTTTATGCATTTAGTCTTTTTAATATGATATGATAACTTCTGTTAGTAAAATAATTAAAATAAAAGATTAGTAAAGTTAATTTTAAACTTTTGAAGTTAAGAAAAATTTTGCGTAATAATCTCAAAGTTTAGAAGAGTTTTGTATATTTTAAGTTAAAAAATATATAAATTACAAGTTTGTTCGAGGTTTGAATTTGAACACTCTCTAATTGAAGTAAACCCAAAAATTAAGCACTAAAAATTTTTCGGCAGCATAAATGCAAGGAAATTGGCGTGTAGTGATTTGCTGTCCAGAGATTCTGCGGTTGCGCTTTGAGCCTTTTACTTGCATGCATTGATCCCCACCCAATGTCTAATTTATGGAATTTTCGCATGCACAGTACTCAGAAATCCGTGCTTTCATGAGCTCTTCTTGCCTTGTTCGTTTTCATCTTGGGATGTCTAATTGCTGATTTCTCGATTCTTCCTTTTATTTCTGAATATTTACAGCAAGGAATTTAATGCAAATGAAGCTAATAACAAGTGGAAGCCACCACAGCGAACTGGTGAGGCATTGTATTCATGTTCCTGAATATTGTTTGCAAAAAATCTTGTCATTGTTTTGTAATGTGTTATTATTTGGACTTGTTTTGTCACCAGATTCTGTAAGTGATGACTTGGGACAAAGGCAGAATAAGCCCCGCAGGCAAATTGAATTGCTAAAATATTATAATATTTTAAAATTATTATTCCTTTTTGTGAATGCAATGCTTCTCAAACTGCTTTTTTCTTGTTTTCTTTGGGTGCTTGGGAAGGTGTGTTGCATTGGTTGACTACTGAGCTACCTTTTAATTACAGGCGTAATTTTATTGAATTGTTGCTCTTGTACTCATGCGGTTATTCAGAAATGAATTTTGGCCGGTGAAGTAATTTATATAGGATGCAGCTTATTTGAATAAGCGGACAAAAGGTCTAGTCTTCTTCAAACTTTTTCTAAAGCAAAGCTGTATCTTCTTAATTCTTATGCAGTTGCAATTTTCTGAGTGGTTTGTACTGTGATGCAGGCCTTCGATCAGGACCTTTGTTCTCCTGCTTTTGGTCTGAAGCGCTCTGGGCTACCAAAGAATTAAAGATTTTCTAGGTAATTAAATCAAATAGATTATATCTTTATGTTTAAACGGTTGAATTAATTTTTCTTGGGTTCATTAATCATCATCTCCCTTGCTCATTTTCTAATTCTTTAGTTATACAACGCCAGATCTTGTTGAAGACTGCAGTCATGCTTTCTTGTTTAGTTGTGAGGTGAGAAGGCTCAGCTGCATAATTGATTGTGCTTAATTACTAATGCATCTTAAAATTGAATATTAGTGAGGAATTAATGACACGTGTTGGCTTCTTTCTAGGTTTTATGTTCTTTGTTTTTAGTGGTGAGGCTTATGTGAAACATGAGCTGGCTTCTCTAGAACAATGGATATGGTGTAGCAGCTGATTGCTTCGCGGATTAAATGTTCCCATGTATAGATGGTTTTCTTATTAACGAAGTGTGACCTTGTGGAGGAATTATATAGCCTTCTGAAATAATCATTGATTAGTGTCTTTGTTTTTTTCTTATTTCATTTTCCCTTTTGATTGAGTGGACTCTAATTCACCATGATTGCTTATGGTTTTGACTTGGGAGAGACACTTGGTGGTATTGTGTTCATTACAAATCTCCTAAAATACTTGTAAATGAAATGTTGGCTGCTTTAATGGGATCAATAAGTCACAGAAGCGCATCTCAGGCGTATTATAGACTACAAATAGAAGCCAAATCAACATGAATGATGAGGAATTAGATTGCAAGTTGTGCTATTTATTTTTCACACTCTATATATATGCACGTGGAAATGCATCTAGTTTATCAACTAAATAAATATTCAATCAGAAAAGTAAGTTTTGATAATAGATATATTAATTTCTTTTGAAATATCAATATTGCTACGATGAGTTTATCAGTGCATTATCAACTAAAATTTAATTTGGTAGTAAAATAATAGCTTTTTTTTTTTGTATTTCTCTACTTCCAAGTTAATTGATCATAAATTCGGTACCAATTTTTGATTGGTTCAAGTCCTAGAAAACATAATTTTATTTTTCCAAAACAAAAAGAATGATTGTTTCAAATTCTGTTGCTTTCGTAGCGGCAATGTCAACCTTTTGTATGATGATTCCTAACTTGTTCATTGATGTGAGAATCGACAAAAGCAAAAGAAAGAAATCAAAGCTGCACTAAGAATAAATCAATGTCCATCTCAAAGAAAAAGATCAAGGAAGGAATTCGAATATTAGTTGCTTCAATTTATTCTCTTCAAAATTAAACAAAGGAACCATCATGATCATTCATTTCAAGTCCTATATGTAAACTTCATCAACTGTCATGCCAACCTATGAATATTGCAATCTCTTGTAATTAAGGGGTATAGGGTCTTTCATTTTGGAATAAATAAATAAATAAATAAAAACACACGTATACAAAATGACACATATATGTATGAGAAAGCTCTAACTTAGCCATTTTGGTGTGTGATTTTGGATGAATGCAAGCTACAAGCATCGTTTGGAAGATCGGAAGTGGGAGGCAGATATGGAAAAACTGGGAGATATCATATGGGACATCACAAAGTATAGATGGTTTTCTAGAACAACGGATAGGGTGAAGCATCTGATTGCTTCATGGATTAAATATTGCTATGCATAGATGGTTTTCTTATTATTCAAGTGTGACCTAAATTTATTACGTATATCAATATGTTATTTTAATGACATTTATATGTCAATATATAATTGACAACTTGTAAGATACATGGAGTTTTAGATCTTTACTTAATTTTTAATTGACTAAGTCAAATTAAGAAGTAAAGTTAATAAAATAACAAGTAGTGTTACATAATTAAAAAGTTAACATTTTATTTCAATTTAGAAGTGGTTTGAAAGTTTGGTATACTATATATATATATATATATATTTCCTAATATTATTGAAATGATTTAGTGATTAGGTGGTCATAATTTTTATGGGTGGCCAAAGAATCATGGATTCAAACCCCCTGGCCACCTTTACCAATTAATTTAATTGGTTGGTCATGGACACTAGAGCTTTGATGGCCCTAATTGTGGAGTTGATTTTATATATATATATATATAGAAAAGTAAGGGTCTCTTTGTTATTTTGCACTCAAATTTATTTATATTTTAGTCTCTTGATCCTGCAGTGTAAAATTAGAATTTCTTGATCTTTTTTGCCAACAAAATTGCTTCCCAGATCCTCTAATGTGATTTTCTCTTTTTTTTCATATTCTATTTATGTGGGAAAATACATCTAGTTATCAAATAAATAAATATTCAATCCGAAAAGAAAGTTTTGATAATAGATATGTTAATTTCATTTGAAATATCAATAAGATGAGTTTATCAGTTCATTGTCAACTATAATTTGTTGATCAAATGATTATCAATCCGTTACCAGTTCTCTAGAAACCACAATTTTTATCTTTCCAAAACAAGAATCATTGATTCAAATTCTGTTGCTTACGTAATGCCAACTCGAGAATGGAAATCTTCTGTATGATATGATTCCTAACTTGTTTGCTGATGCGAGAATAGACAAAAGCAAAAGAAAGAAATCAAAGAAGCACTGAGAATAAATCAATGTCCTTCTGCAAGAAAAAGATCAAGTAAGGAATACGAATATTAGTTGCTTCAATTTATGTTCTTCAAAATTGTTATCATCATTATTTGTGTTTTTTCAATTAACTTTTCATAAAAACTGAAGATTTTTTAAACCAACAAGAATTATTTCCTAATTTCATGTCAAATATACATTTTAAAGTCAATTGACATTCCATCACAAGAATATGCAACTAATATATCATGTCTTTAGTATGCTCATATTAGCAACTTATATGGATTAATTTTCTGACCTTTAAATTATAAGACATATAATTATATACAATTTTGACGAAAGAAATTTGTGTCATACTTTTCTAAAGATACGCTATAAACAAGAAATTGAAATAATAAATATAATTATGTTACATATATTACAAATACTGAAAAAAAGTACATAATTCACATTTTTTGCATAATTTTTTTAAAATGAACGTTAATGTTCATGAGTTTATTTAATAAAGGAACATAAATATTTTTGTTGAAATATTCTAAATTTTGATCACCAAGATACTTTACTCAATTGTTTCATTTTGCACGGGAGCTAATCTAGTACACATTAAAAAGTGCTGTCCAAACTGAGATAATTAAGCACTACTTGAATTTATTTGAAAAACTAGATCGCAATACAGAAACATTATAATCATCACAACTATATATAGAAACAAAAACACGAAAGAATTTATGGGTTGTTATATGACTCAAGATAGTGTATACCCAAAACAAAAGGGTTGAATGATTCAAACATATATAATTAGGTCTAATATGAATGGAACCTAATGGTTAGTATATTTGGGAATTTCTTTTTTTTTTTTTTTTGCCCCAGCAGAAAGCCAGTGTTGTGGTAATATAAGATAGTGTTGTTGCTTAATAAGTTTGCTAAGCATCCAATTGTGAGTGCTTGATCCATGGGGCAATCAATCAATGAGTGAAAACCATTAAAATGGCTCAATGTTAGTTAAAGACAAATCGCTTAGTTTAAAGGGGAAAGGAGGGGAGGATTTCAAATCAACAAAACAACAACAACAACAACAAACAATTCAATTATGGGCTCATTTATTTTAGCTTAAAAAATAAGTCATTTTTAGATATTTTAGAGATTTTATAAAAAGTGATTTTTTTTGTATGGAAACTTCATAAAAATCATAAATTATTTTTTGTTTGCTTACAAATATAAAAATTTTTTATAATTTAATTATTTTAAAATTAAATAAATTTTTTGTAGATTTTTATTCATAAAATATGATTTATTTTTTACTTATTTTTAAATTTTTATGATATTTCCATGCTTTTTTTGTATGTTGATAATATTTCCTCACATTTAATGATATTTTCGTGATTATTATTTATTGATTTTTAAAATCTATGATATCTTCATAGATCTTTATTCATTAAAAATGTTTTATTATTAAGTTATTTTAAATTTTATAATATATTCATGTATCCATATTTTTATGACATTCTCTCTTATCCACCTCATCATATTATTTTTAAAAACTACTTAGAGTAGCTTTTTCAAAAAAATAAAAAATTTACTGTTTTTAAGTTCTGATTACTTTAAAAGTTTTTAACAGTTTTTTATTTAAAACAAATTATTGATAAATTAAAATACTTAAAACACACAAACCCTAAATACTCCCTTAATTGCCTTTTATAGGGCATCTTTTAGGAACATTTTTTTTATTTCATTTTGCAAGTCATTTTGCAATATGCTGAGTAATTAAATATTTTATCCTAACAATACCATAAAAATAAAAAATTACTTCATATAAGTCAACTATATTTAATTATAGGCATATATTGAAAAAAAATTAGAATCTTTTAAGTGCATTCATAAGTAACAGTAAATATTTGTTAAATCTACATGAGGTAGTAAAAATGACTAATCAATAAGTAATGAAGAGAGTATTATTGGCCTACAATTAGATTATATATGCTACCAGTGATACTAAGATATGCAAGTTCATATCTTGCATATCAAAACTTGATATGAAAGTGTGGTTAGTTATTAGTAGAAGTAAGGTTCATGAAAAATGGTGTAAAAGAAATGTGGAACTAATTAACAATTTTATATTCCTAGGAAATAAAAGATGTTCAAGTTAAAGGAGCCCATGAAGTCCAAAACAAATGCCTAAGTAAATGCTGTCCCAAGAATTGCATGTCAAGCTACAAGTTAGGAAATAATGTCGACAAGATGCACACTAAAGTAGATGATCTAACAGCGGAGGGACAAAGGTTTGGTAAGGATTTTCCAATGACTCACAAGCCACCACATAAACGAATTGGTCAAATACCTCTTGATGAGACAGTAGGGTTAGATTTGATATTTGAGAAGGTATGGAATAGTATTGAAACAGATAAAGTTGGTGTCATTGGTTTATGTGGAATAGGAGGGGTGGGAAAGACCACTTTATTGAAAAAAATTAACAATGAACTTGGGAAGAGAAGGCCAGATTTTTTTGTGATTTCGGTGGTAGTATCCAAAGAGCCTAACTTGGATAGGATTATGGACAACATAAGAAAATCAGTAGGGATTGGCAACAGTACTTGGAATTCTTGCAATAATCAAGAAGAAAAATCTTCAAAGATTTGGGGTGTCTTGAAACAGAAAAAATTTGTTCTATTGTTGGATGATGTATGGGAACAATTAGACTTAAACTTGGTGGGGGTACCACATCTACAAGAGACTAACTTAGAGTCCAAGGTGTTGTTTACAACACGGTTGAAGGATGTCTGTGCAAAAATGCAAGCTCAAATATCATTCGAGGTAGAACTTTTAAAGGAAAAGGAAGCATTGGAGTTGTTTCACAAGAAAGTTGGTGAGAAAACTTTAAACTCACACCGTAGGATCAAATTTCTAGCAAAAGAGATGTGTAAAGAGTGTAAAGGGCTTCCACTTGCATTAATTGTGGTAGGAAGTGCCATGGCTGGTGTGAACAATGTTGAAGCATGGGAATGCACAAAAAGTAACTTAACAAGTTCTTCATGGACTACTTCAAATTTGGAGATGAAGGTGTTTTCTATCCTCAAGTTGAGCTATGATCAATTGCCAGATGATGATCATAGAAATTGTTTCTTGTATTGTGCATTATATCCAGAAGATTACGAGATTCGAGTCAGTGATATCATTGATAAATGGATAGGAGAAGGATTTCTATGTGAAAATATGACAAAAAGCATACAGGACATGTGCAATTATGGAGAATCTGTGATTGCAAAGTTAAAGTTCTGCTGCTTGTTGGAGACTGTTGAAGATGACATTGTTGTGAGGCATTCAATTAAGATGCATGATATGATCCGAGACATGGCACTATGGTTGGCAAGTGATCAAGAAAAGAAAATGAAGAAGGTTCTAGTACAAAGAGATGCAATGACAATGTCCCATAATGATGACGTTGAGAAATGGAAGATTGTTGAGAGGATTTCAATCATGGGAGCTGGTGAAGGATGGCATGTGCCATCCATGCACTATCCCAATCTCAAAACATTATTGGCCAGGGAATGTAAGATAAATGGTTTGCAGAATATCAAATGCATGAGCCAATTAAAGTGCTTGGAATTGAATGTTAAGGAGATATATGATCCTATAGAAATTTCTAATTTGGTTCTTTTGGAATACCTTTCTTTGACTTCATATGGATCTAAGGTTCCCAAGGAGCTAAAGAACTTGAAAAAATTGAAACTATTTAATTTGTTGTTGCCAGAAGCTAGCATTGCAAGTATTCCATTGGAAGTGATCTCAAGTCTTCAACAATTAAGAGTCTTGAGAGTTTATTGTTCTGTTAGTGTTAGAGGAGATAGCAAAGAAGAGGGAGAATTCCTAGAGGAGGTGGAATCCCTACCAAAAATTGAGGAACTAAATTTTGACATAGAAACAAACAATGGCCTCTCCAAAGTTGTTGGCTCAGCCAAACTGCAAGGTTGCATATCTACTCTTCGTCTTGAGGGTTCGGGCATCATAATTAAGATGCCTTTATTATTGGCTTGCATGTCAAAAATGAAGCACCTACGACAGTTTAGTATGAGCAGCTTGGGCAAATTGGAAGATTCTTCACTACATGATGTATGTCATCTTACCATGCTTCGAAGCGTGAACATTGTAGGGTGCGATTCAATAATGCATGCGACATGGCTCAAGTATGCTCCACTCCTTCAAACACTTATCATTAAGGATTGCTCTTCAATGGAACAAGTGATCAAGGAAGAAGCAACAAAAGATGATCAGAATGTGGATTCTCCTGTATTCTCTTCTCTTGTAGAATTGTATTTATTTGAATTGCCAAAGCTTAAAAGCATCCATAGCACACACTTGTCTTTGCCTTGCCTGAAATCCATCTTTATAGCTGATTGTCCAATCCTAAAAGAGTTACCGCTTAGTTCCAACTCTGCCAAGTATGAGTCGATGACAATTCTAGGAGAAGAAGACTGGTGGAACAACTTGGAGTGGGATCATGACCCAGCAGCTAAGCACAAATTCCAATCTAAATTTCGAAGCTCATTGGTTGATGAAATACCTGAAGGTAAAATACATTCTAATATTGAGATTTAATTAATCTTTTTGCTCTCATATAATTGGCTTGCCTTCTTCCATGTAATTACTGTTCGGATTAATGATTTTCATCCTTCTATTTGATCATTTTTGTGATGCAATTTATTTTTTCCCTTTTAGCTGACATTAAAAAGTATAGCATATTGTTTTTTTTTTCTAGAAAGCAAAAGCTAGTCCTAATAGATACTCTATTTACTAAATGGCTTTGTCTTTTAGATCATATATAATGAAATTGTAATTTGGAATGTCAGAAATGTTTGCGAATTATTACTACATCTCTTTTAACTTTGATACAATTGTTTTGCAGCTAATCGACTTTCTTTCAACTGCGCAGATCTAGATTTCGGGGCACAGTATGTGGCAAACGTCCTTTGTTATCTCGGATTAGATTACGCACCTGCGAATTTCTTTAACGATTGAAAACTAGCTTGAATTTTAGCTTCTACTCAAAATAAAAGTCCAAATATGGCCTTAATGTATTATTATATATTATTTTAATTGTGAACCCTTGAGGTAAAGCTTCACTAGGGGTGGCTTGCATTCTGCATTGAATGGGCCTCCCAAATTTGATAATTGAAACTTACATCTTGTTTAGTTTTATTCTTATTTTTTAAAAAAAAATTATTTTATAAATTAATTTTTTAAAAAATTCAACAAAAAATAAATAAAAATTTGTTTGATTATGTTAATTTGAAAGTAATTTTAGAGTTTAAAAAATTTCCAATAATAATGGCCATCAATGGTTAAAGAAAATGTTTTATGATAATGATTGACTATATCTAAAAGTAATTTACAATAGTAAAATATATTATGTTTAAGAATAAAAAAAAAGGATAAATTGGCTTAATAGTCCAAAAAAATCTTATACCTAAAAGATATGGATTAAATTTTTGAAATTTAAGAATGTGATTGGGTCATGTTGATATATAAGGAGTTTATAATTGAAAATTTAAAAAATTTATAAGGTATTTATCATTAATATATTATAGTATATCATTGATAAATATAATAAAATAGTTATAATATAAAATTTAATAAATGTTGAATTGTTTGCTTAATTTGATTCTATAACATAAATTATATCTATAAAAACCACAACTCTTCCAAATGTAATGATTTAAGCTTAAATCTTACTCACCCAAATTTAATATCTTTACAACTCATTTTCGCACACCAAATATTTTAAACTTAATTTTGGTACATTTTTGGTTTTAAATTTTAAAAACTCCCATTTTTTGCCCTTTAACTAATATTAAGTTTGACCATTAAGTGTTATTGGATTGACTATTTCTCTTTATGCGGCATCCTCTAATCAAAAATTAAAAAAAAAAAAAGTCAAACGAATAATAGCGATCCGTGACCTCTATTTCTAATGATTTCTTCTTGTCACCTTCAAAACTGTTCCAAAATGATAAAGATCAAGAACATGAAGATCCATGACCAGAACAAATCAGCAAAACCCATAACAAATTTATCAATCAGAAAGAATCTAGAAATTTATAGAAGAAAAAAAAGAAACCATCATCCAGCTAATCAGAAATTAAAAAATAAAAAATTTCAATAAAGAACGACTCAATTCGAAACCTTTGTTTCTGATGCTTTTTGCTTCTTCTTCTTCCCACCTTCGAAGCTGTTCCAAATTGTTGAAGGCCCAGGAACATGAAGATCCACATCCGAAACAAATGAGAAGAAACCCATAATAAATTTAGCAGTCAGAAAGAACCCAAAAATTTACAACAATAAGAAATTAACACCAATAAAAAAGACAATCTCAACAGTCAGAAAGAACCCAATGAGGTCGTGGAGCAAAGGCCACTTGCCGCAGCGAAGCAAATGGTTCAGTTTTGAGAAAATGACTCTTTTGATCCATTTTTTCATCTAGTTTTAAATATTCAATGTTTTTCATGCTTCCAAATCTTTCTCACTCTGATGTTGAATGTTTTTAAGGACCTTATCCTATTGTCTTCAATTTAAAATATTTTATTTTTGGATAGCATTTACTTAAAAAAAATTAATTAATTTTTGGAGTTTTTATATAACCAAAATTGATCGTATCTTTCTCTGATGTCTCCTTAAATTATTGGCTTTGAGGATTGTGGTTAAATATGATTAATGTTGAAGGATATTATAGATAAGTAGAGTTGGTAATTCGGGCTAATTAGGTTTATTTGGATCGGGCTCAATTCAAATCGAGTTTGAAGTATCTTACTCTCTTAAAAAAAGCTCATATAGCTAAGATCAGCCCTAATTTTTTTCAAATGGGTTCTAGCTGACCTGTCAAATTTGACCAAAATTATCAACTCTATATAGATATAAAGTTAAAAATTTCAATGGCTGGGTTTATTTGATTCGGGCTCAATTCAGGCCGAATTTAAAATATCATACCTTCTTTAAAAAAACTCATATAGATAAGCCTGGCACAAACTTTTTTTGAGCTGGCTCGCAGGTTTGGTTTAAATTATTGGCTCTATAGATAACCCAAACGTTTCGGTCCAGGACTCCAGGTTTCAATTCTGTGCATTACAGACTTGAACCGAACCTTAACAAAGCCTGATAAAAATATAATAGTATTTATCCATTTAATAAATTATCCCAACCCAAGTTTTCCTACCGAACCCAATATTTGTTCACAAAGCCTTTTGTGAGATAAGCCCAAACCCATTAACTCAAGAAACCCAAATCCATATCTGACTCGCAGGCGGCACGCAAGCACATATGGCAAATGCTCACTTCACTTCACACCACGTGTCCAATACTCAAATTCATAATCTGGCACTGGCCCTTTTTATGGTACATCAAAATCAACATGCTTTTATGTACAGTTCACTTCTTCATAGTGGTTTAAATATGGATTCATGGTTAAAAAATCGTGACTGGTGTTATTATTTTGAGATTTTTTTCCTTATTTGTGACCAAGAGTTTTTTTTAATAGATAATGCTAATTAATAAGCTTAAAATTATCAACAAATATGCGTATTATATATAATTTCTAAAAAAACAAAAAAAAATCAAATAAACTCATCCAAGTAAATACATTCTATAATTTTAACTAAGAAAATGAGCTATTCTGTTAATAAAAGTCAACGAGACCATATGATAATGAAATATGCCCAATTCTGTACAATTGATTGCTACATGCTCCATCTCTTCTCACAATCTCTCAATTGTTCTGTTGCTAATTGGCTCTCTATCATTTTGCAGATTGGCATTCTTATCGTGCACAATGGCATTTCCACTGTTGATTTCTCCTCCTTGCTTGATGCTTCATGTCTCTTTATTTGTTCCAAAAAAAAAGGTCCAAACATGGCTTGTTTATCATTATATATTAGTTGATCCTCTTGCCTTGTCCTGTTCTTTTACACTTTCATTCTCTGTTGCATCCTTTTCTTTGACAAAACAGAGCATTGACCTGTGCATGCGTTTCCAGGTTTTTTTTTTTTTTGGGGAAAAAACTAAATCAGTGTTCGCCAAGTTATGGTTTTTGAATTCAAGATTCATTCGGTACTTTTTTACAATATATATTGACTGATTATTTGAAAAACAAGGTAATAAGGTATGTGATCTATAATGACTAAAAATGGCATGTATCAACATTAATCAAGTTTCATAATATAAAACAACAGCAAAATATGGATAATTTTTTTATAAAGCTATTATGAGCTTACATTGAATGCCATATAAACTGTGACATGTCTTTTCTTAATATAATATGACAACTTTTATTAATAAGAAAACTAAGAAATTAAACAATAGTAAGGAAGCCTGTGATAAATAAAATAAAAGATTAGTAAGGTTAATTTTAAACTTTTAAAGGTGATGAAAATTTTATACAACAATCTCAAAATTTTAAAGAATTTTGTATATTTTAGCCTAAAAATATATAAATTATGAGTTTGCTCAAGGTTTGAATTCGAACACTCTCTAATTGAAGTGAACCCAAAAATTAGGCAGTAAAAATTTGTTCGGCAACATAAATGCAAGGTAATTTGCGTGTAGTGATCTCTTGTTCAGAGATTCTGCCTTTTGTTTGCGGCTTTTCTTCCTGTACAATAAATATTGAAAAGATGCCATCACTTATTTTTATGGTTTAAGATGGATCAAACATCATCAATATTAGACACAAAATAAGTCAAGAAAAGTTTCACATCTAAAAATTAAAAGATAAAACATATACTCTAAATTTTATATCTTCTTAATCTATCTTTTAATTTTTAAATGTAAAAGTTTCCTTGACTTCAATATCTCTAATAATCACTTCATCGCATTGATACCTAACTATTTCATTTGCTAGTCAATTTAATGGGTTGAGTGTTTCCCTCTCATGGAAGCTTACCATGCCCTTCGATTTAAGTCTGACCACCGTCTCATCCTCGACTCCGAATCACCAAGTCATCAAAATGAGCGACGTCCTGCTAGCTTCAAATACCACGTAGCATGGACCCTAGAAGGCGATTTTAGTGATGTGGTGCAAAAAGATTGGGAGGAGAAATCACGGATTGATGGTACTCAAATTTTTGCACTATATGAGCTCAGGCTTGGAATAAAGACAAACTAGGAAACATCCCTAAAATGAGGAAAAACATCATCAACTGACTTGAAGGGATTGATCGGACAAGAAGACTCAATGACAAGAATGGACTCTACAAGCTGCAAAGGTCTCTTTGGAAAGAATATCCTCTATATATATATATATATATATATAACAATAAAAGAATATCATATAATTATTAAGTAGTCATTTGATAATTAATAAGCACCCATTTATATTTAACAAGAAACTATTCGTTAATTGATAAATTCAAGAATTTAAAAAAACTTAGTTAGAAAAAATAACAAGTGTAGATCATATTTCAACAAAAAGTTATTTGTTAATTAATAAATACACATTTGTAATTTACAAAAAACCATTGGTTAATTGAAAAATTTAAAAATATAAAAGAGTTTGGTTATGAAAAGAAACAAATGTAGATCATGTTTGAATAAGTAGTCATTCATTAATTAATAAGCACTCATTCGCATTTAACAATAAGTTGTTCACTAATTTTTACAAGTTTAAGAATCTAAAAAAAGGGACAAGTGTAAATCATGTTTCAACAAGTAATCATTTATTAATTAACAAATATCTATTCATATTTAATAAAAATTCACTCGCTAATTGATAAGTTTAAAAAGAAAAAGACAAATAAGAGTATTATAATCTTTTTTATCTAAAATTATTTTAAATCAGTCCTTTAATCTTGTAGTGATATTTTAAAATCTTTTGATACTTGTTTAATATTAAATTGACTTTATTTAAAAACCTCAATCACAGTACATATAATCTAAACTCTCTCTCTCTCTCTCTCTATATATATATATATATATATAAAATCGTTCGGTGGCCAAATATGAGTGGAACCAAGGGTTAATGCATTTGTAAG